AACCTGATCACTTTCTCTTAACTTTAGCTAAGATTTTTGTAAACTTCAGAAATTCTGTAGAATTCAAATCTATGTGTTATTGAATTTAAGGGTAACTTTAAGTTAGAAGAATTTTTCCAGAATTTTGTAGTGACATTCAGTTTAACTTTTGAACCTGGGGCCTGGCCAGTCTAGAAATAAGCATTTATACTATATTTAGAAAATAAATACTCTTATGTCATTGTTGGATATGGAAATTAATTTATCCAAGTTTTTGTCAGGCGATTGGTACATGAAGAGATTTTATGTTCAACATATGCCAGTTGTATCGATACACCTGCAATTATATGTAAATTTAATGGAATGTAATTAGATGTGTATCATTGGGTAGCAGTTAGATATGGAAATAGATAGACAGTAATATTTTGCCTCCCTCAGGATAGATCAGAGTGCATGTTTTCCCCAGTAGGTCTCCTGGTTACCACTTCGCCAGGTGTGAGACATGTGTGTAGAATACACAAACTCCACTCAATCCTTAATCTGTATATTTCGTTAGAAGTAGCTCCTCCCAAAAAGAAAAAAAAATGAATGTACAGGATCACAATATAAAGTTATCTTGTGTTGGATCACAGCAGAAAATGTTGAGCATCATCAATTAGCTGTTATTAACAGCTAATTATTTCATGTTTTTTATTCTAAGGAAAGAGATGATAATCACCACGCTTTGGTCAATCTAGGTCGGAAGCATTATAGGTCTGGGGATAAGGCAGCCTCCAGAATGTCAAGAATGTAGAAAATGTGTAATCAGATTACCAGAACTCTTACCACTGTGTGGGACACCATGCTGCTGCAAAGTTGTACTATATGAAGATATTATGTTATAGAGAGAACTACCACTGTATAGGACACCATACTGGTGCCGAGTTATATCTAAATATAGGTGTAAAACTCTTACTGTGTGGGACCTCGTACAGGTGTAGAGTTAGATGATATAAATATGTCTATGATATGAAGAGAATTACCACTGCATGGATTACCATACTGGTGCTGAGTAAGGTTAGAAAGATCGGTTTAGAACTATTACTGCTTTTGATACCATACAGATATAGAGATGTTCTGGCTTCCCAAAATTTTGTAGAGTTCCACAAGTACGAGTCCCAAAATTATTGCAATATAGAGAATACTACCACTATGTGGGCTACGTTACTGGTGTAGGGTTAGACGAAATAGAACGGTATCAAACTACCATCATAGGACACGGTATTTGCATAAAGTTAGACTATGCCTAATTTACTTTGGGACAATCTGAAAATCAATGGTCATTTTTGGACTCTGAGGAAAATAATTTTTTTTTTTTTTTTCAAATTTCATTGGTCCTTACATTTTATTTATGGTCATTTGGTTGGTCCTCTACAGGTAAAACACAGACAGGTAAGATATTCCAATCACTGTGCTCCTGATGTTTTACTCCTTGATATTTCTATAGTCAGAAACCTTAGAGTTTGGAACAGTCCATTGCCAGCTATATGTCATCACTTGTTTAAAGTTTGGAACAGTCCAATGTCGGCTTAATGTCAGCACCTGTCTAAAGTTTGGAACAGTCCATTGTCAGGTCTATGTCAGCAACTGTCTAAAGTTAGGAATTGTCAGGTCTTTGTCAGCACCTAACTAAAGTTTGGAAGTCTATTGAATTCACCTTAAATATTAGTACATGTTCAATTCAACTGTACAATTTGTAATTCTGGATTACAACAAAATTTGTACACAATAGATATGTAGCCGTTATATAAAGGACTAAAGGTAACAGGATCTCGTTGTTAGAAATAGGTCAGTCATTCTGGAACTAAAGATTCCATACTTAAAAACATGCCTTTTCAGCAAATTTCTCAAGGGCTGTTGTAGCGTCTGTCATCCTGGCAGTGCCATTTCGTGCTGAAATGTGACTAGCTCATGGTATGTGTCAGTATTGTTTCAGGACCGAGAGTTGGAGGTGTCACGTGAACCTAAATGTCAGTTGCCTAATGAAGCACTTGATCTGTTGATAGGACAAGAGGATATTCCTCGTATCAAATGAAAAACCTCTTACAACTGTTCTCTTATTATAACATGTGTACTTGACTTTGTCAATGACGTATTTATAATTACTTAACATTGTCCATACCATGTTTTTTCTTATGCTGCATTGGTACAATGTACAATACATTTAACATATATGTCGGCAACAGTAAACAAGAATCATCTTTACGATTACCTTTATTGGAAGTATGTACAATAATAACTTATCTAATTGTAAATATAACATCTTCAGGCTAAAAATGAGCCCAGGCCCCTTACCAAAAAACAGGTACAAAACTTTATACTTTTTTTTTTACTGCAAACATTTTATCGACCAAGACAAGATGTACGTAACATTACATACATGTACTCACACAGGAGGTCTCTCATACTTGCTCACATCATTCACTCTTGTCATATTCCAGAATATGAAATACATGTACACACATATACACATACACTTTCAGTTTTACAGTCATGTTCATATTTCCAACCAAAGAGTGAATTTTAATTATTTTCTTGACTAAGACGCAATTACAGTTATCTACTAGCATAGTAAACAGTGTTTTTCAAGACACACACAAACACACAAAAAAGAAAGTAAAACAAAGTAAACAAACCAAAAATCTAAACACAACATAACTCTCACTCCTGTAGAATTTTACCTTACCGTAATATTAATTACTATAAAAGTTAATTAACCCTATTCAAACTGTATTACCTTTATTATTTCACAAACAGTTTTATAACTTGCATACAAGATAAACTTCTACTTTTTACACACAGATACACAAAGATATATAGGGTCTAACCCTAACCTTTGTGCGAAAGGGTACCCAGGGTGGGGTGGGGGGAGCTTGGTCAGATGGCGTGACCAAACTATCATCTTTGCAAATATTTATTACATTTTCACATACTTGGTGATTAAAAAACAATATAATTGAAGGTGGTGGGAAGGAGAGCAGAACAAGATTTTTATGTGTTCAATTCATCTTCAAATCATCCCCATTTTGTCTGAAAATCTGTTACCAGGGTATATTATTATTTTTTATGGCTAGCCTTTCTTGATTTCCATTGTCTTTCATGCTGCAATAGTGAAAGTGATGTTTTAACAATAAAATCAATTATTTAAAAAGGCCCAAACTTTGAATTTCCAAACAAAATGTCAAAAAATCTTGAAAGGATATAAAATTGAATTGATTTTTGTAAAGTGCATATCAAGCAATAAATTCACAAAATGTACCAAGCTGGCTTGATGTTATCCTCATTTATACTAAAGTAGAGTTTGTGGGAAGAATTCTACGACAGATTTTATGTTGAAATGCTTGAAGTTTGGTTTCTCTATTACATATAAAAGAATTATTGTATCTATCATCAAATTTCATGCTTTCATAGAAATTTATTTTTGTCTTCCATTTTTCCTGACACTTTAATGGCCCAATAACTATTTCTTCAATGAACATTTTATAAACACACTTCATGTCTTTTTTAATTATAATTAAGGAAAAGGTGTCCTTTTGTTTAATAGGTGTAATAGTGTTACCATTTTCTGCTGCTTGTCTCAATTCTATCCTCCACTTCTGTTCCAACTTATTAATTAAAGTCAAATGCTCAATAAAATCAAATGAAAGTATATTAGAAAATTCAATATAGTTTTTCCATTCATATTGAATTCTCCAATATGCCTTCATTTCATTTTATTGAGCATTTGACATATAGTTATTTATTTTGGTACAAAAAATTAATAACTTTTAATACTAGATTGGAACCATTTTTTGACCAGGATTCCAATCTAGTACTAAAAAGTTATGAAAAGGTACAAAATGTATTAACTTTTCTTAGGTATAAAAAGTACAAAAGCTTCTAGTCAATCCCATTCTTCAGTTCAGTAAGCCTTTTATTAACAGACAAATAGGTACGTTTAGGTATAACCTTTTTCCAATTGAAATTATTTTGTATCCATTTCAAATTTCCAATTTGCTATTAATTCACTCCTGATATTTTCTTTCCTAGTGAAATCCTGGTAAAATACTAGCTGCAATTAACTAGGTTTTGGAGAGATCTCCTCGTTACCTTAATCAGCTGAGCAAAAGATTAGTAAATCAGAGGACTGGGTTTGAAAGCTAGCAGAGGCATCAAAATAATAAGGACCTCTGAAACACCAATTTAACCATTTTCTTCCCAAAACGAGGCTTAAATACCCCATCTTTAACCAGTGGAAAAAACCCCTGATATATCCATGAATTAGCCGAAAACAATTGTCTTTCTTGAACTATTGAGGCGCCATATAAAAGGCACAATATCAAAAATGTCAACATAACAATTTGGTTGATTTGAATATTTTGGCTGTTTTGTGTAGTGTATTAAAAAGAGGATGCATGGAAACAATTGTTCTTCAATGAAAAGCTGTTAAGCATAATTGCAATCAGTAACATTGAAAAGCCGAGTGAAAGGAGGTCTCCAGATCAAGGATTTATTGAATTTCAGCAAAAATCAAATTGTGAGGTTAGAAAGTCACATAATATTGAAGTTGAAATGGAATGAAAAGATATAGGAGTCTTGACATCCCAAATCAGCACACAGATATTACTGAATGTGAATTTGATTATTTAGCATGTATGCCCATTCTACATAATGATTACATATACAAACTATAAACTTGACTAAGGGACTGTAATGATTCTCAAAATCCGCAGTGTGTGGTTTGATCCCCTCCACTTTGTGTTTTTCAGGAAGCTTGAAATCAGTGATATGCTGCACTGTAATGAATGTGTCCTTTGGCAAAACACTTTACTCTAATTGTTCAATATGATGGGACTCCTGCATGTTGTTCAGTGAGGTTGCCACAACTCTGAAGACCCTGCACTGGCAGTTCCTTGACTGATAATTCTAATTAACAGACTTAACTTGACAGTCGTTTGTACAAGACTTTGTTTCATTATGTTTTTCATTTATCGTTATTTCAGGAGGCGGCACCAGCAGCGGAAAGATAATCCAGAGATTTCCAGACACCGACTGGGAAAACTGCCCTTTTACACAAGGGATAGAACTGGTGAGTTCCCCTTAATTAATGGACTTAGAAAACTGCCCTTTTACACAAGGGATAGAACTGGTGAGTTCCCCTTATTTAATGGACTGGGAAAACTGCCCTTTTACACAAGGGATAGAACTGGTGAGTTCCCCTTAATTAACCGACTGGGAAAACTGCCCTTTTACACAAGGGATAGAACTGGTGAGTTCCCCTTAATTAACCGACTGGGAAAACTGCCCTTTTACACAAGGGATAGAACTGGTGAGTTCCCCTTAATTAACGGACTGGGAAAACTGCCCTTTTACACAAGGGATAGAACTGGTGAGTTCCCCTTAATTAACAGACTGGGAAAACTGCCCTTTTACACAAGGGATAGAACTGGTGAGTTCCCCTTAATTAACCGACTGGGAAAACTGCCCTTTTACACAAGGGATAGAACTGGTGAGTTCCCCTTAATTAACCGACTGGGAAAACTGCCCTTTTACACAAGGGATAGAACTGGTGAGTTCCCCTTAATTAATGGACTGGGAAAACTGCCCTTTTACACAAGGGATAGAACTGGTGAGTTCCCCTTTATTAATGGAAAGGGAATAATACATACATAGTTGCTGACTGGGGTACACCAGTTATTTCACTTCATGAATTGTAAATTCATATCATCTGCTACAGTTCTGTGTTTTTGATCTGCAGTTTTATACAAATGACCTCCGGGTGTCTCCAAATCAGGATTCAGGATTCTCATAATTTTGGAAATAGACGTCAGGAGTGGGTACTCAGTATCCTTTTGGATCCACGGCTGTTCCCGGAAGGACCTTCCTGATTTTAATGTTTGCGGGACGTTGTGTCTCCTTCCCGCTACCCCCACCCCCCAGTGTTAATTTTGGAAATAGAGTAACTTCACTCCGGGTACTGCAATTAGTCAAAATAAAATTTGAAAAATGTCGAACCAGCCACTTCTTTATCCATTCATTTTTTATTATTTTTGGTTGGTTGATTGACAGGTTTTCCGTCTCCTTGACTCCTCTTGTGTTTGGGTATTGTGTCACGCACAAACGTCAGTGTTCTGGCAACTTTGGTTGCTTAGTTGGTTGGTTGACAGGTTTTCCGTCTTCGTGACTACTATTGTGTCCAGGAATCATCTCACTGTTGAATGTCCTTGTTCTGGCAGCATGTTTATTATTGTGTAATTATTGGGTATTTATGTCTACACAAAAGAAGGCATCTGTGTCTGACTTTTCAAACTTGCTAAGATGACAAATTAAGATATCACACACAAGTTTAATCTTACACATAGTCCACCAGTAAATACATGTACAATTTAGTTGAAAATCTAATTTGCGCCAATTTGGAGATATATTTACACTTCCTATTAGTCCTACAACTTTATTTAGTGGTACCTTGGAGGGAACAGGAACATGGATACCATACTGCTCTTTCTGGTTATAGTGGAACCTGGAAGGAAGACACTGTAGATACTATCTACTTACTTTCTTTCTTGTGTTGTTTACTTCATGAATTACGCAATCACAAAAAAATTATCGTAGCAAATTACACGAGAGATAATGACTTTCAGTTAACATTATGTGCTATTGACTTGACTTGCATTTTTTCGTGAAATTGGACACATGCTGTTGATTTTAGCATTGGAGACATTTTATTTCCTTAAATGTTTTAGTCTGCGGAGTCCATGTTTGGTACATGAAACTTAAAAACATGTTTGAATCCAATCAGTGCCTTTGTCACCTGTATGTGAAGCCATGCTTTTAAATAACTGGGATTGACCTTCATGTTGCTATGGAAACAATGCTCTTTGTCGGGGTATTGTACCACATTCGATGAATTAAAAGTTGTTTTGGTCTGTGAATATGTCATTACTGATCCATGTTTCTCAGAGGCTCTCTGGCAAGCTAGCTCACCTGTCGTCGACTAATTAATTGAATGTGCAGCCCACGCTGGGTTCGTAATGAAGATCTTGCACTTCAAGTTTTTTAACAGTGGTTCAGAATTCATGGAAGTAATTAGCCAATTACTTTGTGTATTGCCTATTAGTTTACAGCAACAGACAGTTTTTTTTGCCATTGTCATTTTTTTCGCTATTTTACCCATAAGATTACATGCATGATAACAGATTTTGGACTTTGATACAAAAGTATACCACATATATTACTAAATGAGAGTAACAGTGGGCTGGCTGATTGGAGAGGAGTGTTGACACAAAACATTGCTTATATATGTCAAAATTCATCACCTTCATTTTTCCAGTTTTGTCAACCAGTAGGATGGTCGCTGTCAAGTCGCCGGGAGCCACCACAATTTTTCGTGGCAGTGTTGACAGACATCGATGCAGACCGGCACTTCTGCACATGTCTGACATTCAGCGAGACAATCGCTATCACGAGTACCAAGGGAGATGACCCAGATGGGGATGAGCCTTCGGGGATTCACAGCTCTCTCATGTTCGCCCCGAAGTCCCTCGTCCTTGTTTCAAGACTTGACTACTTTGATGTGTTCAGGGTAGGTGCAATAAAAATGATCATTGAAAATAGTGTGTAGATACATGTATAATTAATAGATGTATAGTACAATTTTGTTTCTGTAACACAGGCCTCCATATAACTAATTTTATATATTGCTAAACCCAGGATCACAGATTTTACAGCATTCATATGGGGGTTTTTTTCGTCTGAAAAAATGAAATATTGTACATGAGAAAAAAATGTCATCATTAGTCAGTTCACTTTCTATGTATGGATAACTCATCAGATTTTACATTGGTTCCAGAACTGCCTCGGAATTATTTACTCCACCTATGTTGATAAGCTGGACTATCAGTTGGAGTCTCTGGTGGGCAACATACTAGGCTGTATTCAAGTACCGCCTATAGGTAAGTGTTCCTTGTACAGGTGGGTGTTACCTGTATATATCTCTTACAGGTGGGTTTTACCTATAGAGACCAGTATCTAGATACCTCCTACAGGTGAGTGTTACATGTATATACCTCCTACAGGTGGCTGTTACCTGTATATACTTCCTACATGTGGGTGTTACCTGAATATACTTCCTACATGTAAGTGTTACCTATAAATACAAGTATATAGATACCTCCTACAGGTGAGTGTTACTTATAGAGACCAGTATCTAGATACCTCCTACAGGTGGGTGTTACCTATAGAGACCAGTATATAGATACCTCCTACAGGTGGGTGTTACCTATAGAGACCAGTATATAGATACCTCCTACAGGTGAGTGTTACCTATAGATACCAGTATCTAGATACCTCCTACAGGTGAGTGTTACCTGTATATACCTCCTATATGTGGGTGTTACCTATAGATACCAGTATCTAGATACCTCCTACAGGTGAGTGTTACCTATAGAGACCAGTATATAGATACCTCCTACAGGTGAGTGTTACTTATAGAGACCAGTATATAAATACCTCCTACAGGTGGGTGTTACCTGTATATACCTCCTATATGTGGGTGTTACCTATAGATACCAGTATCTAGATACCTCCTACAGGTGAGTGTTACCTGTATATACCTCCTATATGTGGGTGTTACCTATAGATACCAGTATCTAGATACCTCCTACAGGTGAGTGTTACCTATAGAGACCAGTATATAGATACCTCCTACAGGTGGGTGTTACCTATAGATACCAGTATCTAGATACCTCCTACAGGTGAGTGTTACCTAGATACCAGTATCTAGACCAGTATGTTACTAGATACCTCCTACAGGTGGGTGTTACCTATAGAGACCAGTATATAGATACCTCCTACAGGTGAGTGTTACCTATAGATACCAGTATCTAGATACCTCCTACAGGTGAGTGTTACTTATAGAGACCAGTATATAGATACCTCCTACAGGTGAGTGTTACTTATAGAGACCAGTATCTAGATACCTCCTACAGGTGGGTGTTACCTATAGAGACCAGTATATAGATACCTCCTACAGGTGAGTGTTACTTATAGAGACCAGTATATAGATACCTCCTACAGGTGAGTGTTACTTATAGAGACCAGTATATAGATACCTCCTACAGGTGAGTGTTACCTATAGATACCAGTATCTAGATACCTCCTACAGGTGAGTGTTACCTATAGATACCAGTATCTAGATACCAGTATCTAGATACCTCCTAGAGGTGAGTGTTACCTATAGAGACCAGTATCTAGATACCTCCTACAGGTGAGTGTTACCTATAGATACCAGTATCTAGATACCTCCTACAGGTGAGTGTTACCTGTATATACCTCCTATATGTGGGTGTTACCTACAGATACCAGTATCTAGATACCTCCTAGAGGTGAGTGTTACCTATAGAGACCAGTATCTAGATACCTCCTACAGGTGAGTGTTACCTATAGATACCAGTATCTAGATACCTCCTACAGGTGAGTGTTACCTGTATATACCTCCTATATGTGGGTGTTACCTATAGATACCAGTATCTAGATACCTCCTACAGGTGAGTGTTACCTATACACAAGATACTAGTATCTGAATATTTTCTAAAGAGGAGATTTAATTCCTCATATAAAGCAACAAAACAATGAATTTATCTTATATGTGCAGGTCAGGTCTGTTGAGTCATAATTATAGATCTGTGCATTGAGACAGCATGCCCCATCTTTGTTATACTATTGTTAAATTTTGATGTGCAGAGGACTTCCAGTAAAGTGCTATATTACTAAAGTAATATGTAAATTTTTTGTAGGTGGACCCCAGGTACGGTTCACCATCGGGGCTGGTGACCGCCAGGCTTTACAGCCTCCACTTAGTTCAAGCATCCCTGTATCTGGCAATACAGTGGCCCTCCTCTTCAAACAGCTGGGTAAATACAGACACAACTACATACCTACAATACTTTCAATCACGGCTATTGACATCATTGCTACTAATTAAACTGCTAAGCATTACTTTTGTACTTTACAATGTCTGTTTTGTTTCTGCGAAAGTATGTGGCATCTGTTGCCTGTATAAAGTGACTGCCTGTGAGAGAGTAGAATATCTTAAGATGGGTCGAGAACAAAGGTTGTTTTTTTTACTTGTCTGGGTCGAGAACAAAGGTTGTTTTGTTTACTTGTCTAATTCTGTTTGGACTTCTTTTTTCAGGTATTCAGAATACCTTGGTGCTTTTCTGTGCAGCATTGACGGACCACAAGATTTTGTTCCACTCTCAGAGTAACTCTCGTCTGACAGATGCCTGTCGAGCCCTCACTGTTCTTTTTTATCCCTTCAAGTACAGGTAAAATGATAAATGATTTCCTTAGTCCTTCTAAATAATTGAAACACAAGATTTTTTTTATCATTAGATTTCTGATAAGAAATTGCTTTACTCAAATGATATCTGATAATATGGTAAAGCAGGCTTCTTGCTTTACAATAAGGCATTTACTTTTCTCTGACCATGTAACTTTCACTTTCACTGTCAAGGTTTTTTTCACCGGTTTGAGTTTGGACATTTTTGTCTCCTTTTGGGAAGAAAAATAGTGAATTAGGAGTAAATTGCAGATTTTGGGAAATTGGCTTTAATATGAAATAATTTCAGTTGGGAATGGGGCCCATTATTACCCCCAAAAAGCCCTCAAAACAGGCCTGACTGGAGAGTACATTTAAGCTTGGTTTTCCATTTAAATAAATCATGGATGTTGACATTGCATCAAATTTCTTAAGATTGAATCAGTTTAGAAAAAAAAACATTTCACAGATAAAGTAGTTGAGTTTTATATGTAGGATTTTGGGTAAACTTCCCTAGATCATGAGTACTGCATCTGCTTCTGTTTAAAAATTGAAAACTTGTCGAAAAAAAGTGAAAGTATTGCCATGACAAATATTGTAGTGTCTTGATTGATGTTTGTAGATTGACTGAAAGATTCTTTCATTACAGCTATGTATATATTCCTATCCTACCGGCACCCCTGATAGAAGTGCTCAACACTCCAACCCCATTCCTGGCCGGTATTCATTCATCTCTCATGGATGAGGCCTCTGATCTCGTGAGTATCTCCTTGCCTTTAGGCTCAGGATTAAAAACATGACAGCCTAATGTATCTCTAATACTGAAAATTAAAAAAATTAAATCAAGTGAAGAAACCCTGTCATAAAAAGAATTGGAGTTTTGCATGGATATTTGTTCTGAAAGGCACGTTTTAATCTGAAATCCAACTGATTTTTCTACAGATCTTGTATGTGTGTACAAGGTTATTTTTTCCCCAAATTTTTATTTTTATCTATAAAAGATATTGATGAATTTTTAGCATACATAGTTAGAATGGCCAAATGAGATTATGTAATTACATATGGATTTAGAATATCCCAGAAAGCAACCAAAATATATCCCCCACAAATATGAATGATTTTACAGTATATTGGGTACAAGATCCCTTGCAGATCTCTAGTAAATAAAGACTTAATAAAGATCATTTAATGATGGATACTAAGATCGCTTTGGGATCTCCTATTTGTAAGATGGTCATTGTGAACTTATTGTCCAGACTTACTTTATGATAGTATTATCTATCCCTGCTTTACTTTTGTTTTCAGTTAGATGTAATCATTGTAGACTTAGACGGAGGAAGTGTATTTATTCCTGAATGTATTAATCTGCCCATGATTCCTGAACCAGTACTCACACGGACAAAGACATCCCTCAAGATGGTAAACATTTAGTAGCTTACATAGAAAATTATTCAGATAACTTAGAAAATTTTATTACAGTAGTTTCTCAGACCAGCTCTTCACAGCTGAACTCATATTAATTTACACTGTTAATATCCACAATAGCTCATTTGATAGAGTGTTGGGCTGACAAAATTTCAGCTGAAAATCTTACATGTTGCTCAGTACTCCCAAACCATGACCATTTTCTCCTCTCAGGAAATTGAAAAATAGACTGGTCTGTACTGTCATGACACTTAGCAAGACACTTTAACCCAGTTGCTCTGGATGACATGTGATGGGCCTCCCATATACTGTTCATAGAGGCAGCCACCAAGTACTACAAGAAGAATGCAGTTAATGATAAATCCAGCAATCAAACAACCCTATGGAAGTCCTCTTCCCAGTGTTCTATGTAGTTAGATAAATGTTATCACTGATTGTTCATATTGGTGATCTTTGGTTAGTAACATGTTCTGAACTTGTAAACAACAAGTGTTTTCTGTAAACAAGTGTTAACTCTGAATGACAAGTGTTGTCTGTAAACAAGTGTTAACTCTGAATGACAAGTGTTGTCTGTAAACAAGTGTTAACTCTGAATGACAAGTGTTGTCTGTAAACAAGTGTTAACTCTGAATGACAAGTGTTGTCTGTAAACAAGTGTTAACTCTGAATGACAAGTGTTGTCTGTAAACAAGTGTTAACTCTGAATGACAAGTGTTGTCTGTAAACAAGTGTTAACTCTGAATGACAAGTGTTGTCTGTAAACAAGTGTTAACTCTGAATGACAAGTGTTGTCTGTAAACAAGTGTTAACTCTGAATGACAAGTGTTGTCTGTAAACAAGTGTTAACTCTGAATGACAAGTGTTGTCTGTAAACAAGTGTTAACTCTGAATGACAAGTGTTGTCTGTAAACAAGTGTTAACTCTGAATGACAAGTGTTGTCTGTAAACAAGTGTTAACTCTGAATGACAAGTGTTGTCTGTAAACAAGTGTTAACTCTGAATGACAAGTGTTGTCTGTAAACAAGTGTTAACTCTGAATGACAAGTGTTGTCTGTAAACAAGTGATAACTCTGAATGACAAGTGTTGTCTGTAAACAAGTGTTAACTCTGAATGACAAGTGTTGTCTGTAAACAAGTGTTAACTCTGAATGACAAGTGTTGTCTGTAAACAAGTGTTAACTCTGAATGACAAGTGTTGTCTGTAAACAAGTGTTGACTCTGAATGACAAGTGTTGTCTGTAAACAAGTGTTGACTCTGAATGACAAGTGTTGTCTGTAAACAAGTGTTAACTCTGAACGACAAGTGTTGTCTGTAAACAAGTGTTAACTCTGAATGACAAGTGTTGTCTGTAAACAAATGTTGACTCTGAACGACAAGTGTTAATTGTAAATAACAAGTGTTGATTAATGATGTTTTTGTGCTTATAAACAACAGGTTTTGAACCCAGACCTACTCATGGCTGACCATGCATTTCCTGCCCCATCTCCGAAGAAGCCTGCCTCATTAGAACAAAAGGTGAGTTAACTCATTCTGTCCCTCTGCTAATTACAAAATTTTTGTTACTGTTAGGATTGTCACATGTAGCGTAGGTAGTGTCAAGCTAAACAAGTTGATTATACTTTCACACATTAACACTAACAAACATTGGAAATATAAACTCAAAAGTTGAAATTATCTTACAACAACTATATAGTGACATTAAACTTATCCCACAAACTGACAGATTGCAGTGAACATAACTGATTGAATGTCTACCCCGAGAGATGCTCGACTCTCAGAAGAGGAGGAGAAAATCATGTATTGTATTTTGTCGATCTGATACTTTTCAGGACAAAGAAATCCGTGCAATATTCATTCGTATGTTTGCTGAAGTTTTTGCTGGATACAGAACTTGCCTCACACTGATTCGCATTCATCCTGAAGCATTTATAACCTTTCATAAGGTATAGTATATCTCATCTCTGTTTATTAAAAGGCTTCTATTTTTACTGTCTTTTAGGACACAAAAAACAAACAAAAGATAGATTCCTTGAAGCATGAAGCCATTGCCCATTTCATGACTTTGGTGATGAAAATTTATCAGTTTTTGATAAAAATGCAAAAATTACAATAAAATCGTAAAACCTTAACAACATTCATTTATCTATTTGATTCCTTAGACATTTCCTTGCATTAATAAAGTCGTATGGAAATCATCCCCTGAAATTTCTTGGGTTTAGGCAAACTTCCTAGGTCACAAAGGGATGGTGGAAGATGATTTCCTAATTCGTGTTCTGGATGCCATGGCGTTTGGAGGCTTTGTAGCAGAGCGTGGACCGCCATACCGAGTCTGTGACATATTTGATGAGGTCAGTCAAAATCTGTCATTCTTACTAGTATAATTTTTTTTTCTTCATTTTTCATTTGAAATTAGGAATATTCCAGTATTACAAAACTTAACATACACAATTCTAGAAACAATGCTGTTGAATAGAATTAATTTGATGTTTTTTTTTACTTTCTTTCTTTCTTTGAAATGTTTGCTATCCTTGGAAGAATATAGGTAATACTTGAAATATTTTGTTTGAAAGGAAAGAAAGAAAAGATGAAACTGCGACTGAAAATGAAAACAAATCTTTTTAGTTCTACTGCCCCATATGTTTTACTGGCATGTGTACAAGGCAGCCATATTGACACTTGCTTGTTGTTTGGTAGGTGTATGCCGTTCTACAGGAACAGCTGAAGGAAGAAGTGAATGACCCAGAAAAAACAATGAGTAACATCAAGGAAATCGCCAAACAGCTTCATACCAATGTAAGATAAACATGCGGTTAAATGGGAGAGAGTTGGATAAATACGTAACAAATACTGTGGACCTTAATTTCGCACGCAATTAAATTTGTGTATTATTTTGTGGGGGTGGTTGGGATTAAAATTCACAAAATAGTTTCCATCACAGGTACAGTAGGCCTTTTACATGTAAATTTGGGTTTATGTTTCTAGTCGACTGACGGATGACTGATGTATAATACATGTAGTAAAATAATAATGATTTAATATATTAATGATAATTTACGCTTCGTAACATCCAGATTTATGACTGTATGTTGTGAAATTAAATGGTTGTGAAAATAAGTTGGTTTACAGTACTCGATTAACAGTAGGTAGCATCTGTTGATTTTAGTGGAGTTATTAGCAAATTTATAGTAAGGTTGACATATTTCAACAAAGAGTGCCATCATCAGTTTATATTTGAAAAGAACCTGAAGTACAAACAGCAGTCTATACTTTGTAACAAGATGGTGGTTTGACATCACTACATAAAATACTCCAACCGACACCAAAAGTTCATAAGGTTTGGGATGGGGATGGGGTTGAGGGTAGAGGGGGTCCTGGGTTAAGTAAACTGTACCTTAGTTTATAAAGGAAAATAACACTCTCAGATACATTTTATCAAGTTTCAATTGGTAATGATTCAAGCAGATTTAGAAATATTTACATCATTAGTTTGGTGGCTAGCAGGGTCTTTCTTTCTATTTGCCTTTGATATGAGCTTTAGTATTGATAGTCTTCACTCATCTACAAAATAATCATATTACATCATATAAGACATTGCTGTCATAATTGTTATTTTTATGGGTTTTATTTCTGCTGTATTAAAGGATTGAATAAGATTAAAAAATAAACACTATATCCATGTTCCATAAATGCTCAAGTGAAAAATACATCCATTTGGCTTCAAACTTTTGTGACAATTGTAGAAATTTGACCATTGAATATAAAAACCTTGAGTGTATCAGGACTTGTGTGACTGTTAAGGCCTTTTGACAGTGTATCAGGACTTGTGTGACTGTTAAGGCCTTTTGACAGTGTATCAGGACTTGTGTGACTGTTAAGGCCTTTTGACAGTGTATCAGGACTTGTGTGACTGTTAAGGCCTTTTGACAGTGTATCAGGACTTGTGTGACTGTTAAGGCCTTTTGACAGTGTATCAGGACTTGTGTGACTGTTAAGGCCTTTTGGCAGCTTCTTCTTATTTCAGTCAATATCCTATGTCCAAATGTCTTCGTTGAAACATGATGATGTGGATTTTTGTAACATGCGTCTGTAAAAACTATTTTAATTGGACTTTGCACTTTGTTTTGCAGGAGTGTCCTAACCCACAACCATACGTACAGAAGGTACCCAAGCCCACTGAGGGAGCATATTCACGTATACATCAGCCTCCATTTCCTTATCTGGACTGGGCACATGTACAGAAGATCATTGATGAAGGTGTACACAAACAACCTGTCAAGACCAAGTATGTATCTACTTTTGGTAGAAATTAGTATCAGACAGACATTTGTTCGAATAGATCATATTGAAATGTACTGATATCTATTTTTTGTCGAAAGTTTTGATGATTTGTTTTTGAAAAAATTAATTCTTAGACTGCTAATTTTCAGTTAATTTATGATTCCAAGACCGTGGTTAGCTGCATTTTTAGTTCAATTGGTCGACAAATAATATACCAACCCAACCAAGCACATTTGTCGCAAAAACAATATACCATCCAAACAAACAACTTCTATCCTGACAAATAATATATCATTCTCACCAACCACACCCATCCTGACAACTAATATATCTTTCCTACCAACCACACCCATCGTGACAATATAGCATACCATCCAACCACACCCATCCTGACAAACAATATACCATACCATCCAACCACACCCATCCTGACAAACAATATACCATACCATCCAACCACACCCATCCTGACAAACAATATACCATACCATCCAACCACACCCATCCTGACAATATACCACACCATCCAACCACACCCATCCTAACAAACAATACACCATACCATCCAACCGTACCCAATTCTGTTTAAGCTATAAATTTCCAACCAATGACACGCCATCCTTGTACATTATACCATTCCAACCAATACACACCATTTTGACTAACTTCACACCGTCTGACCCATCCCTGTGATAGTTGATGTTCTTCTTTCACACAGGTTCAATAACTTACGGCCACCACAGCTGAGAATAGTACCGATAGGTCCAACCATTACCCTCATCACTGACAGACTCAGAATTGTGGACAACAATGCCCGACGTCTCGAGGTCCTACGCAATTGTGTCACCTTCATCTTTGAGAATAAAATCACAGATGCAAGAATTGTAAGTGATATCCTATCTATGATGTTTACAACAAGATATTTGTACTTACCTCACAACAATCTTCGCCTATTTCATAAATTATCAGATCTATTAAAATCTCCTGGTCATTGGCAGTGTGTATGGATTTTGATTAATGTAGATAAATTTCAATACTTTTTGAGAAAAACAAAATTAAAGTGAACATACATATATATTATCTTTAGCTTGCTGAGTTTATTAGCTCAAGATCTTATGAAAGATACACAAGCGAATTGCACCTTTCAATAAGTATTTAGAATCGGATTCAGTAGAGCCAAATTAAGGACTGAACTGCAACATACAGCAGTTTCATCCCTCTAGGACTCCTCAGAAATGCTAAGGGCCTAAAATTTGAAATTTAAGCAATTTGGGCAAAATTAAAATTGATCAAAAGAAATGTCAAAAATTATATGGGGAGGTGCACTAGCTGCATAATTAAAATAATTTCGCAAGTTTAATACATCTGATAATTCAGACAAAAGTCTAGAACATATTTATACTTTCTAAGCTCTGTTAATTTTTTATGCTCCCCGAAAATTTTTGAGTAAAACATATACTTGCTGCTTTGTGTGTCTGTCCATCCACCCTTCTGTCGGAGAGCATTCATCAGTTTTACTGATACCCTTGTTACAGATATTCCCAGCAGTGCTGCGTGCCCTGAAGAGCCGAGTGGCTCGTCTAAGTCTAACACAGGAACTGAGCTACCACATACGCAGCAACAGAGCCATGCTGGAGCACCAACAGTTTGATCTAGTCGTAAAACTCCTCAACTGTGCTCTACAGGTCAGTATGCTCCCTCAACACTGTACTACAGATCTCAACATAGTTGGGTATTTGGTCTTTGAACTTTGACTTGTAGTTTGGTATTTGGTCTTTGAACTTTGACTTGTAGATTGGTATTTGGTCTTTGAACTTTGACTTGTAGATTGGTATTTGGTCTTTGAACTTTGACTTGTAGTTTGATATTTGGTCTTTGAACTTTGACTTGTAGTTTGGTATTTGGTCTTTGAACTTTGACTTGTAGTTTGGTATTTGGTCTTTGAACTTTGACTTGTAGTTTGGTCTTTGAACTTTGACTTGTAGTTTGGTATTTGGTCTTTGAACTTTGACTTGTAGTTTGGTATTTGGTCTTTGAACTTTGACTTGTAGTTTGGTATTTGGTCTTTGAACTTTGACTTGTAGTTTGGTATTTGGTCTTTGAACTTTGACTTGTAGTTTGGTATTTGGTCTTTGAACTTTGACTTGTAGTTTGGTATTTGGTCTTTGAACTTTGACGTGTTGGTATGAATTACATATATACTGTAAAATCATCTATTTCTTGAGGCTCAATTTTGTGGTTTTCAAAAAAATACTGTAATTTGTGGACAAAGATATATCTCAATAAATCTGCTTATACAAATTTTAAGAGTTTGTGGACTTATGAATTTGTTGATATAGAGTACACATGAAATGACAAAAATAAAAACCCCACAAAAATTGATGATCTCTCAGTATAACCAGAAGCAGTTGATCATGTGTTATTTTTACATAGCATTACATTTATGTGTTTTTGTTTCTTTTGGACACCAGAATGACTCTAGCATGGATGAAAATGGAATTGCAGCAGCCATCCTTCCTCTAGCTACCTCCTTTTGTCGGGTAAGTATAAAGTCTGATTAGCTGTCTCCTACTGTTGGAGGCATAACATCCTCTAAATACGATTGTACAATCCTTACTTTAGCTACCTCTCCTCTTTTAACTTTTAAAAAACACCTACAGTTCAGCTTGGTTTAAACTACATGTTATGGTCCTGAAATGTGACATATCAAGCTCCTAAATGTTCTGACATCCTGTCTAATTCAGTATAAAGATGTCCAATGAAAACTGCCAAATATGTCTTCAAAGACTTCTTGTCCAGTCGTAGTAGTTCAGCCCCAGTGCTGAATGTCGGTGGTTCATGATTTATTTTAATAGCTTGTGAACGTTTCCTTGATCACATTTGTAGTCTCAAACTTTGAAGTATAGTTGTTAATCATTGTGGAGGACCGGTCAAAGATAAGTAGGTTGTTCTCATTCAGTATAATTTATTATATAATCTGTGAACAACAAATGTTCACCTTGATTAAAACAGACAGAAATGGTCTCAATATTACCAATGATAGATGTGGTGTTTCACGTTAATGTCCAGCGGTGCTGTGTTTTACACTCAATTAAAACAGACAGAAATGGTCTCAATATTACCAATGATAGATGTGGTGTTTCACGTTAATGTCTAACGATGCTGTGTTTTACAGAAACTTTGTACAGGGGTGATCCAGTTTGCCTACACACTGGTACAGGAGCATCCAGTCTGGTCGAATCAGCAATTCTGGGAGGCTGCCTTCTACCAGGACGTCCAGAAACAGATTAAACAGCTGTATCTACCCCAGTACGAAGAACACATGATAATGGAAAAGAAACGTGACAGTTCTTACAGCCCGCCCCAGTACAGAAATGTATGTACTGTATACCTCTGCTGTATAGAGGGTCAAAGGGACACTTTATTTTTCGGGAAATAAATAGATGGAATTTGGGGGTAGGGGTAACATCTATGTAAGCCCCGGCATACCTTGTTTTGTTTAATTGGTGACCAATTTAAATCCAGATAAGCAATTGTAATCTAATGCTCTTCAGTGCCTCTGGCCCTTTGATATGAAAATAGTAAGTTGGCCATACACTCATGTCACAGCATCAATGGCGATGATAGGTCATTACACCTACGTAAGGCTCTACATCTGGGTTTTCCTCATTTCTTTCAGGATGATGAATTGAATGTACCATCTTATCGTGGCTCATCTACAACACCAGATGCACAGAGACGACTCTCAGGCTTCAAACCCAGACAGATTGGGGCACTGGAGATTGCTGCTGAACAGGTGAATGTTCCATTTATCTATTGTGCTTTAGTGTTTTCAGTCCATAGCTCCCTAAAGCAAGATCAAAACTTGTGGTTCATGACCACATGATTTCACAATTGTAATTTTTATTTTAATTTAATCATGTGATTGTGAACTGAAAGATCTTACAATTGGCCTTACCATTATATCAGCACTGTGGAATGACACTTGAGATTTTTTCATGTAACCTGGTTAGAACGGTTCAGTGGGTCTTAAATTATGCTACATTTTTATATTACAGAACTGATTTCTCAAACATCTTTATATTGCAGCTAAGAATATGGCCGACCCTGAGCCCCGAGCAGCAGCTTGAGATGACAAATAACGAAGAGTCAACAGTGTATAGTCAAGCTATCCACTACAGCAATAGGATGGTGTACATGAGAGTTCCCTTAGAGACAACCAAACCCATCAAAACCCTCTCACCACACGACTGGGAGAGCAACAGTAATAGCAACATCACTGCCAGGTTAGTACTGTCAACAGTAATACATGTATCACTGTCAGGTTAGTACTGTCAACAGTAATACATGTATCACTGTCAGGTTAGTACTGTCAACAGTAATACATGTATCACTGCCAGGTTAGTACTGTCAACAGAGATACATGTATTACCAACAGGTTAGTACTGTCAACAGTAATACATGTATCACTGCCAGGCTAGTACTGTCAACAGTAATACATGTATCACTGCCAGGCTAGTACTGTCAACAGAGATACATGTATTACCACCAGGTTTGTACTGTCAACAGAGATACATGTATCACTGTCAGGTTAGTACTGTCAACAGCAATACATGTATCACTTTAAGGTTAGTACTGTCAACAGTAATGCATGTATCACTGCCAGGTTTGTACTGTCAGCAGAGATACTTGTGTCACTGTCATGTTTGTACTGTCAACAGTAATACATGTTTCACTGTCAGGTTTGTACTGTCAACAATAATACATGTATCACTGCCAGGTTAGTTCTGTCAACAGTAATACATGTATCACTGCCAGGTTAGTACTGTCAACAGTAATACATGTATCACTGCCAGGTTAGTACTGTCAACAGTAATACATGTATCACTGTCAGGTTAGTACTGTCAACAGAGATGCATGTATCACTGTCAGGTTTGTACTGTCAACAGAGATACATGTATCACTGCCAGGTTTGTACTGTCAACAGAGATACATGTATCACTGTCAGGTTTGTACTGTCAACAGAGATACATGTATCACTGTCAGCTTAGTACTGTCAACAGAGATACATGTGTCACTGTCAGATAAGTGGTTTGCTGATAAAAAATAGGCAGCCATTTTGATGATTGGACTAACATGATTTTTTACGACAAAAATCCTTTTTCAAACTCCACTTATGGAATCCAACTCAAACTTGCTTAAAAGGATCCTGAAATGGTCTTGAGTGAAAGCTTGGATGTCAAAACATACAATTTCACAGAATATTCAGAAAAATCCCTAAGGACACCATTATGTAGGTAATGGTTTATTAAATAAGAACCATGCATTATACAATAGTAAAAAGCTATTACATGTTATGCTACTTACTAAATTCTCTTGAGTGTCAAAAAAACATTCAAACTTACACTTACTTCACAGCAGCAATGGAGATGACACTTACTTCACAGCAGCAATGGAGATGATAGGTCATTACATGTTACACTGAACATCTGTGTTTTCTACATTTTTTTTCCTGGAAGATGAATTGTACCATACATGTATTCCGTGTTATGCTACTTTTCTCTTTGCTGTAAAAAAATGTCCAAGCTGTATAATGAGGTAAATATTTACCAGAAGAAATTGAATTTTCAGTCTGGCGGAGAGTGACAGTATTGATGCCGAGAGTGGATTTGACGAGACAGAGATTTCTGATGTTGGAGCGACTGTGGTGCGATTTGTGACAAGATTTGTCGACAAAGTGTGCAATGATAGTGGCGTGACTCAAGACCACATTAAGGCTCTGCACCAGATGGTTCCAGGTAGACACATCATATTATATTGGTTTGGGGCTATGGGTTTTAAGGATGACACAAATTAGCCAAAGGAAGACAATGAATACTTGGGGTTAGGAATTTAGGGAAGGACAGTTTTTGAGAAATAGATTATCGTATACTTGCTTGATAAAATCTTATTATGGTTACCAAGTAGTTGGACAGCTGTTACTTCAGAAATATCTGATATAAAGTCTGTATGATTACTTGTCCTCATATTTTTATTTATCTTACCACTTTTTTCAATAGAGATGTTCAATGTGAAAACAAATCTGAAACAGCAAATATCACAGAAGACAAATAACATCAGAACAATCTAAGTAGAAACGTCTTAAACAAAACCCATTGTTTTCCTACAGGTGTGGTGGCCATGCATATTGAAACACTGGAGGCAGTCCACAGGGAGAGCAAGCGTCTACCTCCCATACAGAAGGTAAGAAGGCAGAGACAGGGCACTGTGTATGTTGTCTTTTTTAGAGGGTTCTGGTTTTCTTGTAATTGTAGAGAATGGAATAAATTATGACAAATAGAACTCAAAAAAATAGAATTAACTGACAAAAGTAAAGTCTTTTTCTTGACTTTTGAGAAAGATATGGGTTTTTTTGAGTGTTTTTGAAAATTTGAACCATTGAAAATAAAGACTGTACAGGACATTAACTCCAAGCTGTATCACTTTTTGTATCTTGTAGATATGAGTTCATAGTTATGTATATGAAAAGTTTCACAATACCTCTCTTTCCCTGCCGTCATTAGATGAAAACATCAGACATGAATTTAAAATTTGCTTTTGTGTCATACTTGATAAGCATATGTACTAAAAACAAAAAATGTCTAAGAAGAGGTGTATGATGCTTTCAGCCAAAGATCCTGAAGCCGACCCTGCTATCAGGAGAAGAGGTGGTAATGGATGGTTTGAGAGTGTACCTTCTCCCTGATGGTCGAGAGGAGGGTATGGGAAGTAACATGGGAGGACCTAGTCTACTGCCAGCCGAGGGAGCCATTTTCCTCACTAACTACAGAATCATATTTAAGGGCATTCCCTGTGATCCTCTGGGTACGATGCTTTGTAGAATGAATTTTATGCTATTTTGTTGGGTTCGTGAGCATTTAATGTTATCAACCCCATTCTAAATAATTGTTACATTTTAAGAGCCTCTCCTCATTGGATTTGATTCACATTCATCCCATAGTGTTGTAACATCAACTTCTACACCTGATTAGATTTTGGTTTGTACTGAAGGGGGTCATTCATGACTTGTGGGAATTTTCTTAATAAAATTGATAAAGTTCTTGCTTATAACAAAGTGGAATTGTTTTACTATAATTTTTATTAAAATAAGAGATGAATTTGTAAAATATTTTTAATAAACCTTGTTTGAGATGCTTCACATTGAATATCTTGATCGTTTTTATTGTTATGGATTTTGCTTTGATGTAGAAATTGAGTTATCTCCCTTGTTATAGCTTGTGAGCAAGTGGTAGTGCGATACTTCCCAGTGTCCACCCTCACCAAGGAGAAACAGATCAAGTTGCAATACACTCCCCATATTGACCAGCTCCCAAAGGATGGCATCCAGCTGAGATCGAATATATTTCAGGTATAGTGACTTACACTGACAACAATACCACTAGTAAGACAGGGAACTGTTCCTCTGTTTCAAGATTAATTACAAATTAAACATTTGTTTAACATTCTTCAATTAATGTTTCATTTCCACATTTATATTCATTTCAATTTGATAAGGTATTTCTCTTTGGCATGGGCTGGGTGTAGATTGTTCTGCCCCAAAGAAATCTTGTTTGTTTTTAGCTTGCCAGCACCTTGCTAAAATTAAACATTCTTCAGCTGATTTCATGCATTTCATATATTTATTCTGTTGTTATGTTAACATGCTGATCACCAGATGTCAATATTATTATTTGAATTGAGATAAAACCTTTTTAACATGTTAATGTGTGACTGTAGCTGATGAAGATCGCCTTTGATGAAGAAGTGAATCCAGAGGACGTTGATGCCTTCAGAAAACTCTCTAACAAATACCGCAACCCTAACAATGTGTTCAACACCTTCGCCTTCTCTGGCCAGACAATCCTACAACCAACGCCTTTACACAAACACAAGGAAAAAAATGCCTCTCTCAAGTAAGAGATGCTTTCAGCCAAAGATCCTATAGTTGGGGTCATAGGTTAGATTACATCTAGAGTGGCTAAATCTTAGTAATATGTTAGCATTATGTCAAGCATACACCATAAAAACAAACATCTAATTTATATTACACTTGGAGGTCAAGTCTGTCAATGGAACAAAACTTTGACAGATACAGATACTTAAACATTTATTTGAAGACATGAGAAGTTAAATGTTTCTTATAGTACACCATATATAAATGCTGTCAAAAGCTCTTGACATCAGGGTTGATCAGAACTGGACAAAATTTAGGAAATTAAAAGTTTTTAATCACCTATTTCAGAATAATTCTTTACTGTTCTATCCGGCGTTTTTTCTTACTTAATGTACAAAATCGTTTTCCTTCAGACATTTTGCAAAGAAAACTTTGATAAAGACAGCACGGAAGGCAGGCATAAAAACAAAACAGTCTGGAAGAAAACCCAACAAGTATGTGCTTCCAACGCCTCCTCAGCAGCGACGGAGTCTGGCCTCACGATCCTCTACAGCAGGGTCAGACAGTGAATCTGACCGACCCACCAGTGAGCTCTATGATGACCTTTCAAGTATGTATCACATCTACTCCTGATAGGGAAACTCGGATAATCCAAATTTCAACACTTATAGGGATACTGGGATAGTCCTCAAATTTCAACATCATTGGGATAGTCCTCAAATTTCAACATCATTTAGCAATACTGGGATAGTCCTCAAATTTCAACATCATTGGGATAGTCCTCAAATTTCAACATCATTTAGCAATACTGGGATAGTCCTCAAATTTCAACATCATTGGGATAGTCCTCAAATTTCAACATCATTTAGCAATACTGGGATAGTCCTCAAATTTCTACACCTTTTACTGACTAATACTGGAAAAGTCTTCAGATTTCTACATCTGATGGGTACTGGGAAACCCATCATAATTCTACACTTTTTCACAATTCTGGGATATTCCTCAAATTCTTATAATATAAATTCTTTTTCAGTCATTGATGAGGCAGATTTCCCCCAGAATTTGGCCGCTGACCCCAAATTTCTTGAGAAGCTAATGACAAGACCTGGCTATAATGATTATAAACGTCTAGGCTTTGGAGATCTGATGAGTGGTACACAAACACTCAGGACAAGGACAGATCTTTTCAGGATCAGTACTGTTAATGCCAACTACTCTGTCTGTCGCAGGTAAGACAAAATCAGAACGATCAGAATGTATGGATACCTATTAATACTATGAGATATACTCAAGGTGTTCTTTGGTACTGTTTCATTTCCTTTCCTGACTAGGGGCTGTGATAGCTCTGTCAGTAGAGCCTTCGGTGAAGATCGAAGGTGTATGAGTTAACACTCCCTACCTGACTGCTTGTGTTTCTCAGAAAGCTGAGAAATGGGACCTGTTCCTTCTAACATGTTTGTGTCTTTTTGACAAGGCACTTCATCAGAATTGCCCATATTGGATGGCTTGTGACTTGTCTTCCATCTGTTGTTAAGTGAAGCCACCAGCCAAGTACACCCTGCCTGAAGATGACCCTGATTCCTTACAGGGTGATAAACACATCAAACAAACCCTATATACAGTAATAGTTACCTCTACTTTCTCTCTGTATTGATAATCTCCCTTCTCCTTTCAGATTGTATAGATTATCTCGTTTCCTAATGGAGTAGTAGTTATCTCCCCTGTCTTAACAGACAGAGACTCTGTATTGATAATATTCCTTCTCCTTTCAGATTGTGTAGATTATCTCGTTTCCGAATGGAGTAGTAGTTATCTCCCCTGTCTTAACAGACAGAGACTCTGTATTGATAATATTCCTTCTCCTTTCAGACAGTATGATTCATGTCAACTTTCCTTTTATGACAGCATTGATAATCTCTCCTTTCCAGGTAAACTCTATTTTGATAATCCTGTTATGATCATGCTTCCAGTAGTTAAAGCTGACATCATTTATCTCTGTATTACAGCTATCCTGCCCTCCTTGTTGTTCCGGCATCAGTGGCAGATAACAGTATACGCAAGTTTGCTCGCACCCATCGGCAATCCAGGTATATAACATCCTTTTCATAGATATTAGATATTATTAGCCGATGGGTTATAAGTCCACTTTCTGTTCCGTTGTCACATAAGGGAAAATATCAGCTAACCAATCTTAAATGACTTGTTCCCTTTGGTCCATCATTGTGCATTGTCTGTTGAATAACCAATTTAATTGAAACTTTAAGGCAACTTTCTGCGGCCAAAGATGAACCATAATTATGTATGAATTGGTTCTCATCTCCCAGGGGTCTAGCAGCAGGCTTAAAGGTTTTAAATTGCTTATCAAAATTGTGAATGTCATGGTCTTTTATTTCCCACTAGGGAAGTGGGAGGTGGGGGGGGGTAAAGTTTAATTGATTTAGAAGAGTTATATTTTCAGCAGAGCTTATTAAATTTGTCTCAAGGATGGAAAGATCCTTAAGTTATTTACCAGAAATGTAGATTTCATTATTCCAAGAATCACATTTCTCCCTGTGGACAGGGGAAAGTTTGCTAAAGTTTTATAGAAACACTTTGTTTAATTTCCATTTGAAATAACTTTAACCTGGTCAGGATTACTACTGTAGGGTGACAGTTTGATTACATGTACATACTGACATTTGTTTAATTTCCATTTGAAATAACTTTAACCTGGTCAGAATTACTACTGTAGGGTGACAGTTTGATTACATGTACATATTGACAATGAATGACCCCATCATACCAGTCTATTATAGGTTTAGATAATAGGTTTTTAAATATGATAATAACCAATATTTCCAATTTGTCTATATTGAAGATGATATAGGGAATATTCAGTACATTGAAAAGATGATATATGATATTATGAGAGGTGAGATCCACTTTACATTCTGCCTTTGTTTCTCAGTGTAAGTTTTGTTTTTTGTTTTTTTTTCTCAGATTTCCTGTGATAACATGGCGCCACCAGAGAACCAAAGCCCTCTTGTTACGGGCAAGTGGCTTTCACAGTCGTGGTCTGATGGGCATGCTCAAGCCAGAAAGTGGCTCAGGTTCGTAGTATGTCAAAAATAGACATTCTCATTTCCAAATCAAAAGTCTTTGGAAATCCAAAGTTATGTGCTGATGTTTTTCTCTGGGTATTATAAACAGGGGAAAGTGATAGAAATAAGCCAAAATGATGAAAAGAGAGATTTTGGCCTATAATCAGTGATATATTGTTTTCAGTCATTTTTCCCTTTTTCATATCCAGAATTTTGAAAAATTTGAATACCTGTAAAATTAGATACCTTCATTTTTTGACATTTCTGAAAAAGAAAAATGATATAATACCATTTTATTACTAAGTCAATAATTCATAAAACCTGTGGAATGTGTTCTGTGTTTTTATACTGAGGATCTTTAAACAACAACTCTGTGATAAGATCAGAAATGTATTGATACATTACAGGTACATCTGGAGGAGAACCATCATCTAGCCTTCAGCAGGAGCGTTACTTCTCCTCCGTCGTAGCTGCCACACCTAACAGTGGACGTGTATGCCACCCTTCATGTAGCGACTCTCTCACTAGTCTTGATTCACTGATGATGGTAGAACAACCGATCACTCTGCCAGACACGCCTGATATGCTTAGGCGTGCCTACAAAACCGGCAGTGTCCGGAGTATGGTCAAACCAAAGACTACGTGTAAGTATAACACTTGATGAAAAAATCCCATAAGCGATTATTTTATCACAGGAACCAGTGTATTATACTGGAGGGGTTATGTATGCTGAACTTCTCATATGCAAAACTTTTCTATGCTCATGCCATTTTATCGGAGAAGATGAGGTTACCCATGTCATCTTGTTTCAAATCTGTCATATCATGAGAACTTCTCTTCACCTAGGTAATATATTTATAGGTGTTGGAGATTTCATGTCTTGTAGACACTTTTTTATATTCCTCCTTAATTTCTGGTATTCTACAAATGTAGATCTGTTTCCTGATATTTAATCAGTGAGCCCATCACTGAATGGAAGTTTAGTGGACTTTTTGTATATTAGTATATATTGTGTGAAAAGAGCTTCCTTTGTATCACATAAATATGTCACTTAAAATACTGAGTTATTAATCTGATCTGAATCACAAGTAGCGTGCATTTACATGTAAAAAAGATTTAAGTGTGAGTGACCATGAAATATACATGATAATCTGTTGACAGTGAATAAGAAAGTCTTTTTGACTGTCATAAGTACAGGTTGTGACAGTGTTACTGTGAAACCATTAATTTTTTTTTTTTTTTTTTTTTGGGGAGGGGGGGGGACTTTTAATGTAAGAATATAGCTGAGATGTTTATCTACAAAATCAAGTGTCATTTAAATGGTATTTTTCCCTTTTTTTTAAAACCACGAAAAGAGAGCCCCCTGAAAATACATGATTTTACAGTATTCAGGAACATTCTGTGTTTCTATTGAACAAATGTATTTACAGCCAAGAATTTTTGTTTCAGTTTTGAAGGACATAGGTAAAGAGCTCATCCTTGATGCTTTCTCCATTCTGTTCTCAAGCTTTATTGAAATTACTTTGATCTTTTTTTTTTATTAATTTTTGTATTTTGTTTATATTTGCTGCAAAACTTTTCCATTCTACCCTGATTATTCACTGGTATTTGTTTTGCTGAAGCCATTTTGTCCAAGACCTGCCTCGTCCAAAATGACCTTTGTTTGATAATAATTTAATGACAAATAAATTGTATCATTGTTTATATGCAAGTTTCCTTCATTCAGTGCAGGTGATGGTATTGACTGTGCCGTCACTTGATAATGGTACATCCAAATTGCCCTTCCATGCGTCGTCCATCCATTCATAAACAAATACTTCAGTTATCGCTGTTTCTAGACAAATATCAGACGAATTTTTCTGAAATTTTATATAGAGGTTTCCTTTAATCTTCATTGTAAAGTGTAGTTTTCTGACTTGGGGGAAAAAAATACAAAATGGCCGACCCAGGGCTGTTTTCGATTTTACAGTTGATGTTTATATAGCCCGCCATCTGCAGAGGATGGACTATTCAAAACAACCTCTGTCTGTCCGTAAATATATTCAAATCACCATCTCTGTGTAAAGTAATCAATACTTCTACAGAAGGGTTGAAAGAGAAGAGTTGAATGGATCTTTCGCTTTCTTATTAAGTTGGTTTGTCTTTGTCCCTATTTGTGTTCTTTTGATTTTGGGACTTATCAGAGAAACAAAATGGCTGTCAGGTGGCCATCTTGGTATTTTTACTGTGGAAATTTGTTATTGCTATTTCTTCAGAAGTACCCAATAGAACTTTCTCAAATTTGACATGCAGATTCTGCTTTGTCCATCATCATGCATGTTTAATTTTAAGACTGATCAGAAGAGCAAAATGGTCACTATAATTGTATATAAATTTTCAAATTTCATGTAATTAAGAACAAACATGGAAGAAAAAAGAGAAAAAGGGAAAATCCAACTTTATAAATAACAAACATAAAGATCATAACAATTGTGGGTGCCAAGGTCCTTCTGGGTTTCTTTTTTTTTTTTTTTTTTTTTTTGTCTCTCCTTTTCTTTTTTTTTTTTTTTTTGCTACTTCTTGAGAAGTTCAATTATAATTAACAGAATGATTTATCCCCCTTTGTTTTACCTGTCACTGTAACTTAGGGATTTAAGACTGAGGAGACGGACAGATCATACAATCCCAAGATCCTAAGGGATCCGTTTTAGTTCTTTTCATGGAGAAAACACTAAACACAACACACAAATTAAAACTACCACATTGTCACGATGATATATCAATTATAAAGTCTTGTGCCACAACTTGGGACAGTTGCTTTAAATATTTGGTGTCATTTTTTATGCTTTATTTGGTAGAAAATTTGCTTTTCTATATTTGGTGATATTATTTGTGCTTTATTTGATGGAAAAGTGTGTGTCGCTTTTGCTGATCAAAAAATTGTGTGTCATGTCGGGGATATGTTTGCATGGTTTTTCTCTTTGAGCATATTACTTTTGCATTTTTTGCCCACCATCATCTTAGCCCATCATCATCAGATGATGGCCAATTCCAATCGTTCTACGTCCATCCTCTGTCCTTCAACATTCCTTGCTATTGCTTTTTCTGTTGAAGCAGTAGATTGATCATTCTAGATTTCATATGTAGGTTTTCTTGGTTCCATTTTGGGACTGATCGGAAAAACAAAATGGCTGATAGGCAATCATTAATATTTTTTTTTCTCTCTAATTCTTGAGAAAATTTTCAATTTTATAGAAATAGAAATTTTAGAAATTTTATAGAAAAAATAATGATTAGATAATGTGTTGTGGGCACCAGCACCATGATCCGTCTGGAATCTCTTGTTTTGCCTTGTACCATCTGTCCAATACCTTCAGCCGATATTTTTTGTCAAGTGACATCATGATTATAATATTCAATGGTTTGTCTGATGTTTAAGGTATCTTTGAAGTGTGTCATGTTGTAACTTTATGTTGGCATGCATTTTAAAGTCTGATTTGTTTTTATTTCATGTGTGTTGTTGATGTCCACTCATTGAAGCTAAGGAACTAGCCTTTTTTATATTTCTACAAATGGAAGAATTCACTGTTGATTGCACAGGTTTTTAATGATAATTGTGAGAAGTGGGTGGACACCTCTTTGTGTGTGATTCTAGCTGTTTATAATGCATGTTGTCATGGATGTTTCAAGATTCCCTACAGACAATAAGTGTTGTAATTCTTTTTCTTTGTGTCTATATAGCTAGTCGAGAGTCCCTAACTTCTATCCTCTCAGACACAGCCAGACGCAGTAGGTTTTCGAGGGCTGTCAACACTCTCCGTTCCAGCACTTCCCGAAGTCGTGGTACCTGTAGGTTTATCTTTGTTTTTACACCAGTATAATTTGGATATGCGGGACAGCTTGCTCCCCTCCACATCATCCTTCAGCATGACCCAAGTTTCAGGGAAACAAAAAGCAATAGAGATTAAACTCAAATATGGGGATTGTATATCACATTATCAGGGTAATGTGAATTTGAAGTAATCGATACAAAAATTATACATGCCATATTTGGGTGCAGTCTGAAACTTTGGGCCAGCAAGGTAACTTATTGAAACATGAAATTATATTTGTATTTAGCAGAATATTGCCATCAAATAGATGTTTGTGGTAAAGATAATGGAACCATTTTCTAAACGGAGAAGAGTTTTTTTGTCAACATTTCTCTATTGGAATCTCATTGATCTGGACAGTAATTTAAAATGGGGAAAAAAAGAAATACATTTGAAAGTAAAGATAAAACAAAGCTAGTGTTTCAATGAATTACCTGAATTTGTCTGAACTTGGAGAATTTACTCCATGGAATTTCACCAGAAGATACTACTGGGCACTGGGCACTGTTATCTAAAACAGGAAGCATGACATTGTAGTGATGATGAGTAGCAGTCCAGTTCACTTTGTAGAACCATCACAACAGCTGTGGTTTTCTTGTGGTGTCGTTGTCCATTCTTTCCTCGTATGAAAGTTGCCCCGGTGATAGAATCAGCTTACAAGATCATTCCTTAGGAAAGAGATCGGCTACCATTATGTACTAGTTGTTTTCAGGAGTCAACATAAAGGGGAATATTTGATTTCAGTTGAGATGCAGTTGTGTTACACTTTATCTGTGAGACAATGGCTGAATGCCTTTAAATTGAAAAGAAACATATAATTTTATTACTGTAAATGTACGTGTTTTCAGCACATGAGCACTCTTCATAATGATAATTTGCACATCCACAAAAATTGCTATATATGAATCATATGGGAACTGGAAAGAATACAATCATGCACAATAACATCAGTGAGAAGCACTTAAATAAGATTACTTCTAAAATATATACATATAAATTAACTAATTATCAAATAAGCACATCTCTATAATTAAAAAAAAAATGCTTATTTTTGCAATGTATATTCTTGAAGCCCTTATAAATAGATTCCCAATATCAGGGTTTACCCTGGAAATGATACAAAACCAAGACCTGCTTGTGAGTCTGCACTGCTACCACATATGTGTACATATTGGAATGGCATGTTGAGAAATTTACTGACACTGTCAGTGGATCTTGGATTGTAGGTTTAATAATTTTAACAGAGCTGACAAGCCTGACTATTGTGAAGATTCCATAGTGATGTAAAATTTCCTCTGTACATATCCTAGTTACAGCTAGCTTTCTAGACCTGCCGTGTTCTAGGTAATAGTTTTGGTAACAGAAATCGTTATTTTGGACTTGTTAATACTATTGTATAATTTACTCGTGTACAAATTAGCATGTTGTATATAGCTATTATGAAGGAAAATAGTTGCAGGTTATGTCCAGATTTAGACTTTTCTTCAGTGAGTTTGATTTTAATCTATTTACATGTTAAATGTTAATTTTTTAATAAATAGTTACATTTTATTATATCAACAGCTGAAAGAATTTAATTGTCATTTCTTTCTTTTATTAATATTCACAATAGCTATAATTTCATTGGTTGATTTAAAGTTAGCAGTAATTTCATTAGTTGATTGAAATAGAGCTGTGATTTCATTGGTTGATTGAAATATGGATATAATTTCATTGGTCTATCCCTACAATGCATGATTATTTTACTATTATACACTAAGCAAACATTTTCTACACACCAATTATTAAAAAGTCTTGAATGTTAGATTTTAGAAAACAAGATACCGAAATGCACAAAACAAAGTAAATGAAGCCTTCCCCTTTCTTTTTTTTTTAGTATTCTTAATTTTGTTTACAATCATGAGAGAATCTTGCATGTAGATTTTATAAATTTTCAGCTTTTTTGGTCCAAAGGACTCTTTAGATTAAGCCATGGCATGACATCCATCATCCATCCTTCGTCCATTTCAAATTTGTTTGAAAATCTTAATTGATATGGACCAAATATGGTTTAGATCATACGTAGGTGAAGGGGACTCAATTTTGTATAAACAGTGATTATGGCCCCCTTTGGCATCGTTTGATGTGTTTTAAGGGAACTGATTTTTGTACAGTTGAAACTTGTTATCTCGAAATTCAAGGGACCATGGAAAATATTTTGTATTATCCGAATTTTGACTCAAACGAAATGTTTACGTAAGGTTGACGATATCAGTTTCCTGACATTGAGTTACGGTTGAACGAGGTAGGGCTACGATAGCACACAAACAGCATAGTTTAATCTGTTATTTGAAATGGCAGTAAATAAACAAATAAATGTATTTCTATTTCTTCTTTTATTGTTTAATCATCCAAACAACAAAACGTGTAATAACAACTCCAATCAAATACATTGTACTCGCGTCGTTCCATCCTGCACACTGGTACTATACCCGTACTGACCAAGCACATGACAAAAAAATGAAATTCAAATTTGCTTTTGATACCCAACAAGAAACAATGTATGAAGCGACATAACATATCATATCAATATGAATAAATGAATAAATAAACATATGCAAAATGCAGCTCTAGAAAGTTTTTACCTGTTACAGCAAACATTGTACAAGCACTAGACTTAACAAACCACCACAGATATAGACTCTATCAATAAAAATACTTTCAGCACTTCATTGTCCAAACATTAAATCTGACAAAGTGCTCGATAACAGTACATTAGTAAACAAGTTCAAGATTAGTTTCTATCGGAAATGTTGGAATCAGATTTCGTCAAAAAGTTTGTACTGGTTTGTTAGTTTCGTTTTTATCCTTCCTGAAGATGCACACAACTCAAATGAAATTTCAACTTGAGCGATTTCGAGACAGCGAGTTTCAACTGTATATCTAGATGTTTTAGTCATCCTAGGGGCAGAGGTCCCAGGCCAAATAGAAATAGAGGGTTAATTTTAAAATAAGTATTCATATGTAGGGATTTAAGTATTTTATCAGTGATTTGGTCTGAAGCATCCTTTGGTGAAGGGGACTACATTTTGTATAAGCAGTGAGTCACATAGGATAAATACGTAGAAGCCTGCAGGAAAAGATGGCTGCCAACTACTGGAATTGAGATATCACAGGAAAGATACATATTGGCATGGTATAAAATTAAGACACGAGAATACTTTCACAGAACGTTTTTACAGGAAGTATACTGTACCACATATGTATAAAGAGTGGTTCACTGGAGCGTATAATTATATACTGGTGCTGCACACTAAATACCTACGTATATATGTTTCAGTCCTTACCCTGCCTCGGCGGTCACGGTCACGAGCTGGTTACTGGCAAAGTATACTGTTTACATCAGCCACTGTGGGAATGTAGCATGCCTGACTTCTGAGGCCCTACACACACAAGTCCCCTTACACAGATCCCTGGTCACTTATTTGGAAATATTGAGAAAAATCCTCATCGAAAGTGAAATATTTCATTAATAGCAGAAAAATTCCCTGTTGAGTATTAATGGCTGTGTGAATTTGTGTGGGGTGACTTGATGTGACATTAGTCCTGTACTGCCGTACTAACCATGTATACATATACCTACATCTTGTGGACTGAATTAAGCTCAATTATCCCCAGCTAGATAATAACTTAAAAAATATATATCTTTTTTTCAGTAAGTCAGTTATTATCTTAACTTGCTGGAATTGTTCAGACTCTAGCGTCTGACAGTCAATACTATGAGGAATGATATATAAAACAACAATAACCTGTAGGCTTTTGTTTTTTGCTTACCTGCCCAAAGGGAAATACCGACCATGTATATATATATTCCTTCTTAGCAAGTCATCGAGATTCTTTCAATGTGATGTAACGTTTGACCTCATACGACGCTAACTGTCACAGTATCATTACAACAGCTTGTATGTCTGCATGTCTGCTGAACATGTAATTCAGAGTAAATGTCTAGTGTGACAGAGAAAATAGTTGGTGTGACAGACAAGGCATGGAAGCATGTCGTTTGTAGAGTGATGGTTGACTGGTGTGTAGATGTGGTTAAAATGCCAGGTTAGACAATATATCTCTTACTCAGTTTAGTTATACCACAGATTTTGTGGTACTCAGTTTATTCATAGCATAGGTCTTATGGTACTCAGTTTATTTATACCACAGATCTTGTGGTACTCAGTTCATTCATAGCATAGGTCTTGTGGTACCCAGTTTATTTATACCACAGATCTTGTGTACTCAGTTTATTTATACCACAGATCTTGTGGTACTCGGTTTATTTATACCACAGATCTTGTGGTGTTCAGTTTATTTATACCACAGATTTTGTGGTACTCAGTTCATTCATAGCATAGGTCTTGTGGTACTCAGTTTATTTATACCACAGATCTTGTGGTACTCAGTTTATTTATACCACAGATCTTGTGGTGTTCAGTTTAGTTATACCACAGATTTTGTGGTACTCAGTTTATTTCTACCACAGATCTTGTGGTACTCAGTTTATTTATACCACAGATCTTGTGGTGTTCAGTTTAGTTATACCACAGATTTTGTGGTACTCAGTTTATTTATACCACAGATCTTGTGGTACTCAGTTTATTTATACCACAGATCTTGTGGTGTTCAGTTTAGTTATACCACAGATTTTGTGGTACTCAGTTTATTTATACCACAGATCTTGTGGTACTCAGTTTATTTATACCACAGATCTTGTGGTACTCAGTTTATTTATACCACAGGTCTTGTGGTACTCAGTTTATTTATACCACAGATCTTGTGGTGTTCAGTTTAGTTATACCACAGATTTTGTGGTACTCAGTTCATTCATAGCATAGGTCTTATGGTACTCAGTTTATTTATACCACAGATCTTGTGGTACTCAGTTTATTTATACCACAGATCTTGTGGTGTTCAGTTTATTTATACCAAAGATCTTGTGGTGTTCAGTTTATTTATACCACAGATTTTGTGGTACTCAGTTTATTTATACCACAGATCTTGTGGTACTCAGTTTATTTATACCACAGATCTTGTGGTACTCATGTTATTTATACCACAGATCTTGTGGTACTCAGTTCATTTATACCACAGATTTTGTGGTACTCAGTTTATTTATACCACAGATCTTGTGGTGTTCAGTTTATTTATACCAAAGATCTTGTGGTGTTCAGTTTATTTCTACCACAGATTTTGTGGTGTTCAGTTTATTTATACCACAGATCTTGTGGTACTCAGTTCATTTATACCACAGATTTTGTGGTACTCAGTTCATTCATAGCATAGGTCTTGTGGTATTCAGTTTATTTATACCACAGATCTTGTGGTATTCAGTTCATTTATACCACAGATCTTGTGGTATTCAGTTCATTTATACCACAGATCTTGTGGTACTCAGTTTATTTATACCACAGATTTTGTGGTGTTCAGTTTATTTATACCACAGATCTTGTGGTACTCAGTTTATTTATACCACAGATTTTGTGGTGTTCAGTTTATTTATACCACAGATCTTGTGGTACTCTGTTTATTTATACCACAGATTTTGTGGTACTCAGTTTATTTATACCACAGATTTTGTGGTACTCAGTTTATCAATATTTTGATACTCGTCTGTGTGATGTATCTACATAATCTTGAGTACCCTCCAGTGGTTTCATACATATAAAAACCTACATACATTTCCCATTAGTGTTCCGTATAGCTTATTCAGCACGTTGACTGTACCTTTGGCACATTATGTGTCGAATCGTCGCATGGATAGGGTTTGGTGCAGTATATTTTTACAAAAGAGTGCAGTTGTGAAATAACAAACTTAACTGCTGGTGGACTATTAGTCCCTGAGGTTTGTCGTAACCTGCATGCCACAATTTAATTCATCCAAATAGTGGCACAGTTCAGAATATACACATGTACTTGACATTCTTCTGAATTTATCAGAAATATGAATTTTAATAAATTTATTGAATTTTTTGGCTATTACACCTTATCAAGATATCAACATTTCTTTTGATCTCTAAGGATTCCTCATTTGCCTTGTTGGTTTCAAAATTTAGGCCCTGAACATTTCATACAGTTTCAGAATGAGAAAACAGCTATATTGAGACTCTAATTTACTATATTGCACTACTGTATCTAATTCATTTGTATCTAAATCTGCTATACACTCACGTGTCTTTTGTGCAATCTTAATTAACATGTCATGTGAGCTATCCTTTTATTTCCTTGTCTGAATTGTGAACATGCTTGTTATGTACTTCATAAGAGTTTCATGTCAAGGCTCAACTTGTCACTTGCTCTAATATATCAATGGATCATATTATCTTGATTTCATTTAGGACTTTTGAGAATTAGAAAAACTTCTGTTGGTGAGATAACTGACTTAATGGTGATTTAACTTGTTTTTAATTGATGTAAAGTAGTTAAAACCTGTATAAGTAAATTTTCTACCATAATTTGTACTCTACAGTAAAAACTTTTCTATCTTTGCACTGTAACAACTGCAAAATGTATCAGACTACTAGATTAATTATTCCTGCAACGGGAAACATTAAAATAAAAATAATTCATCAAATTAACGACGTAATTCACACTCTCTTTGCACTGTGATGGCCGCAAACTACTCTTGTATTACACTACTAGATTAATTATTCCTTCCGTAAGAAACTGAAACAAAAGAAACTTTGTCGGATTGATTTCAAATTAGAAGATTTGAGATTTGTAAGTGTTAGATATAACTGTAGTACTGGTGAACTGCTAACACATCATTACTGACCTAAGACTTTTGTATCTTATACTTTTAAGTTATCGAGCATGATTGCAGTTGTCTGCCCTTACAAGTCAGCAGCGTCGTCTCCTATATATCTGCTTCATTTATCGTACTGATAAAACACTAATTTCTGAAGGACCTGCACTGACAGATGGTAGTCCCCTTACTTGCATGGACATACCGTGTTTTGTTGTCTACATAGTTGTCATTTCATGAAAGGCCATGTTACCATGACTATGATCATTTAAAGCCTCGTTACCATGACGATCATAGAAGTCTTAACTGATAACTGGATGCTAAGTATAATGTTTACTACCAAGTTTGGACATTTTAAAGCGTGATGTAACAGCGAAATTGATTTTGTTGTGATTCTTATTCAATAATTGGATTTATATCCCTAAAAACTTCAACTCCATACTGAAATTGTTCTTGTGTATGTATGTATGATGTCTAAGACTGGATGTTCAAAGTGCAACTCTAAAACACCATAATGTCTTGGTTTTTATTCAACCTCAGTATATTACTATCTTTCAGCTTTCGGAAGGATTGGCAGCATTAAGGAAAAGTCACGGATGAGTGGCACTGCCAGTCTTGACTCATCTGCAGCTCGTCTGAATGGGGCACTGAGTGATGGTAGCTATGGTGATCGTAGTCATGGTGATCTCATCAACAGCTCTGTACAAGGCCTGAAGCGTGTGGCTCTCTATGTTCTTGGCGAGAAGGCACAAATGAAGGTATGTGTGCTTTATAGTAAACTCAATGAGTAAGGTATTTGTATGTACAATAGCCTTGTGTATTGTTTGATGTCAAAGGTTTCATAAAAAATGTGTTTAAGGTATTGTTTGACCATGAAAGTCAAATGAGAAATGAAAATCAAATAAGGTTTATCGTATCCAGGAGTATTTAATTAGATAAAGAAAATCAGTCAACAAATAGATTTGATGATGTTGGAATCATTGGCTATGAAGACAATTTAAAACTGGATAATTACTCTTGATTTGGAAATTCTTCGATCATGTTTAGGTCACTGTTCATCAGGACCTGAGAGGTTTTTTTTTCCAGGTACTACATATGTATAACCAGAAATATCAGTCATTTCAATATTTTACCAAAAATTATCTTGACCTAATCTTTGTGAAAGGATTTTACTTGATCACTGTAGTGAGACTTCAGGAGTTTGACTTTGTGATAACATTTAACTTTTTGCATGTTCTAGGGTATAAAAATGGAATCTTTTCCCAAATGTGACTTTATACCAGTGGACTTTTATGAGGTGCGTCATGTCAAGGCCAGCTTTAAAAAGTTGATGAGGGCATGTGTTCCAAGTGCCCCACCCACGCAGGAAAACACTTTCTATAAAGCAGTTGAGGAGTGCGAGTGGCTGCTACAGGTATATATACAGATAAAGGACTTCCTGATCTTTTGTTAGTAATCAATCAAGGCTAAAGGGTCAAAGGTCACATTTAACTAGTTTTACAGCAAATGTTAACTTCGTATTTACATTATATGTAAACATTAAGTTTTACCCCTGATTTGATCTTGATGGCCATCGGTCAATTTTGCCGAAAACTTCTGATTAGTTTAAATTCCCTGGTAGTTGGAACATGAGATTTTTTTTTCAGTACAAGAAATCATTTTCTGTGTAGTGATAATTCTTTCCCTCTCACTGCAATTGGATCAAGAAATTTTTTGTAGTCCTAACTATCACTAGGGATCACTTTAACGCTGTCAGTGTAAGTTAGTTGTCTGACCTGAGGTACATGTAAATTGTTGCACATATATCTGTATGGTTTTTGTAAACATGTTTTATGGCTGACTTACAGATACAGAACATCCTGCAGCTGGCTGGAGCAACAGTTGACCTGTTGGATGTACAGGGTTCTTCGGTAATGATGTGTCTAGAGGATGGATGGGATTTTACCACACAGGTAGTGTCCGTGGCCCAAATTCTCCTTGATCCCTACTACCGCACAATTGATGGCTTTCGTGCCCTCGTTGAGAAGGAGTGGCTGTCTTTCGGTCACAGGTTCACGCATCGAAGTAACCAGACAGCTGCCAATCAAGCAAGCGGTTTCGCTCCACTCTTCCTGCAGTTCCTTGATGTAGTACATCAGGTATAAAACATTAATTTTTGTTGTCACAGAATGTATAGGGACCCTTAGTAGTGACTTTGGTGTTGATATCTTATTGCTATAATTTGCGTCCTTGGATTCTGACATTTGCCATGGATAAAAATGTCTGACATGTCATTTATTAGACTGATCAGAACAACAAAATAGCTGACAAGCAGCCATGTCTGGTTTTGACTATCCAATTTTCTTTCTGATCAATCCCTAACCGAAAGGACACAACTAGGGACAAAGGGAAACTTACAGCTTAAATTTGAAAAAGATCTATGTGGTACTTCTCAAGGAATAGTGATAAACTTTAATTATTAAACATATTTCTTGATAAGTACTGAATTTCACTAGAAGATCTCCCTTGGTTCTTCATTGCGAATGTTTGATTTTAGGACTAATTGCAAGACAAATGTCTGACAGGTCACCATCTTGAATTTTGATAGTCAAAGTTTGTAATTGCTATTTTTTGTGACATGTTTTATGGCTGTCCTGAGTCAATATTACAATAGTACAAGTTTCCATTGTCTTTGGATAATAACATATTCACATGTTGATACATGTCATTAAGAGCAATGTTGAAAGAGAAAGAGAAAATAAAAAAATCCCAAGTTCTTAACAACCAATAAAGATCAAACGATAGTGAGTCCCAAGCTCCCTCTGTGTTGATTATAAGTGCAGCTAATTTCAGCAAAATCTACAGAGATGGAATTTTAATTGATTTATATATCATTCAATATTTCTATTTGGGTGTTAATATTTGCAAAAGGTCGAATACTGCTACACAAAGGTGAAGCAGAGGTTTATACAATCACTGTTAATGCTGTAGTATCTTTACTCCTTGTGTCATATTGCATTGAACCACTACTCAAGGATGTTTGTATTTCAGGTGATGAACCAGTTCCCGCTGTCGTTTGAGTACAATGATTTTTACCTGCGTTTCTTGGCCTACCACTATGTTGCCAGTCGCTTCAGGAGCTTTATGTTGGATAACGAGTATGAACGTATGGAGGCAGGCTGGTTGTGTGAGGAAAGGAAGATCCCAAAGATTGATGATACAGATATAGAAGGTAAGTGTGTGTGAAATTTATAGATGATACAGATATAGAAGGTAAGTGTGTGAAATTTATAGAAGATACAGATATAGAAGGTAAGTGTGTGAAGTTCTCACTCTAGATGTTCTGAGGCACAGTGGTAATGAGGGCAGGCCTGGCTTTGTGATACGCTTGTTTTCTGTTGTGAAGGAAGGCCTGGATTTGTGGTGCCCTTGTTTTTCTGTTGTGAGGTGATGCCTGGTTTTGTGATGCCCTTATTTATTTAGGTATTTTGGTATTTTACAGGAGGGTTTGCCTACCGCCATCAGCACCAGCCCAGCCTGGGAATGTCTGTCTGGGACTACATCGACAAACATAATCGCAAATCAGCCATTTTTTGGAACTTCTATTACAGTCCACATGACCAGGAGGTGGTGAGTTTTGTTCCTCCAAGAGAACTATAAAAAACATAATGGTATAACTGTGAGATAATGAGGCACTTTTTAGCAAATTTCATAAAATTATGTATTTGATTAAGGAACTTTGAATCCACATTTAACATGAATTAATGTGTTATGAATGTTTACATTTGACAGTATTTTGTCATATTTTGGCTTTGCTTTTGAATCTAAAATAATTCTGTCTCATTTCTCAATAGTTGTAAATCATTTTTCGCATTTGTCAATCTAAGAAAATTAACATTCAGTCCTCCTTCACAACAGTTTCCGTGCTTTATTTTGATTCTTCTTACCAGGTGCTGCGACCGTATTCTAACATGTCAAACCTGCGTGTTTGGGAATACTATCTGACAGAGGACCTGGCCCATGGCCCGCCATACGAGGTCGAAGTAACGCAGCGTGAAATACAGCTGAATGAGGAGGAGGCTGCAGAGAGCTCTGGTCAGAAGTCTCGTAAGGTTGTTAACGGTTGCTATGACAACATACGTATCCAGCAGCCTGATGCTTTTACATGGCAGCTACAAGTAAGCTTTAATAGGATTTGATATGATAATTTATGAACACAGGCATACAATGCCTCTATGTCCATATCTTTAGCTACAATAATTTATGAATGCAGACTTACAATGTCTCTATGTCAATATCATTTGTCTCTATGTCCATATCATTTCCAGTGCAATTTTATCCCCTTGTGTAGTTATGTCTCAGTTCTAGATTTAGCCAGTGGTTTTCCAAGGCAATTTCAAATTCAGTTATTTTATTTACCCAGTAAAACTATTCCAAATATGGATGGCTTTCAGCCCAAATGAATATTTTCGTATATCTAGTTTACCATATTTCTTCCTTAAAATCTATCTGTGCTCTCTGATTGTCATCTTGATTCATCTTGCTAAAAAATGCCTCATGATACCTTACAATCCTAGAAATTGTTTCGTATTTTATACACATTAATTATGTGTCCCCTTTTAACCTACAATAAGAGTTTTTAGTTGTGGCTTCATGTAAACAACAAATCAGATATTGATTTTATTAAGAAACAAGAATAGCATGTAAAGTTTACTTAGTATTTCTGGCTGGAGAAATTGTTATGCAGCCATTAGAGGTAATTTGGCCCATTTCCATGGAAACTTAGTGCAGCCTTCTGACCCTTTTTTACACAAAAGCTAATTCAGATTGCTGCCATTGAACAAACAACTCTCAAAATATATCCGTCTGTCTTGTCTTAACAAACAACAGCTGTGAAATGCTAAAGAATGTTTATCCTATTTTGTTTACATCATGTTTGAATTTTTTTTACTAAACACTTGGTATATCTAACCAGCATTTGAACAACTGTGACCAGATCAGTTGGATAGGGGTACAAAATATGTAGGTCATTTCCTAATTTTACAAAATTGCAACCTTATAGATTGATAGAATTTGAAATTTTGTTTGATTTCCAAAAGTGAATAATGACAGTAGAAATATATCTTCAGTGTCTCTTATCATCATTTATGGATTCTGGAGTAGTTTTGGGACAGATTTAACCACCCTATGGCAATTACGATGTCAATTACATAAACTTATCTGTAAAAGGTTTATAAAGTTGAATGAAAAATGTATTCAACCAGTTATTCACTGCTGTAGGAGATGTACAAGATAGAGAGTGATCTGGGACTCCTACCACAGAAGTGGAAGACAGTGTGGGACAAAATAGAACGTCCAACCCGGGATACTATCCACAGGAATGCTTCCTTTAACACTCAGATGGTGCGCTCCCACGGCCGCTCCATCCATAAGCGTTCTACCCTGGAGATTCTTGTCAAGGGCAAGATGCTCGGTGAAGCTGCTAAAATGTTCAGTCAGCCGCACAGATTTGAGAAGTACACCTACACAACACCTGTGTATTGTGATTACTGTTCACAGGTCCTGTGGGGACTTCTGAAGACAGGTCAGTATCTAGTTGGTAAATGTAGAGACTAATAAAGGTAGGTTTGTATCTAGTTGGTAAATAAGGAGACTGATAAAGACAGGTCAGTATCTAGTTGGTAAATGTGGGGACTAATAAAGGCAGGTTTGTATCTAGTTGGTAAATGTGGGGACTTTGAAAGACAGGTCAATATTTAGCTGATAAATGTGGGTACTTTGAAAGACAGGTCAATATTTAGCTGGTAAATTTGGGGACTTTGAAAGACAAGTCAGTATTTAGCTGTTAAATGTGGGGACTTTGAAAGACAGGTCAATATTTAGCTGGTAAATGTGAGGACTTTGAAAAACTAGTCAGTATTTAGCTGTTAAATGTGGGGACTTTGAAAGACAGGTCAATATTTAGCTGGTAAATGTGAGGACTTCTAAAGACAGGGCTGTATCTACTTGGTAAACGTAGATTTCTGTGTAAAGACTTTAATTACTGGTGATGCTTTGACACTTTGGTAGTAATAGAATCAGATGTATAGACACTGTACACAGAAATTCTATTTATAGGTATGCATTGTGCAGACTGTGGCTATAACTGTCATGAAAAGTGTGTCAACAACGTGCCAAAGAACTGTACAAAGCTCAAGATTGTCGCCGATAGCAACAGTAGCTCAAATGTGTCGCGGGCTGGAGGCTCTGAGTCAGGGTCTGTTACAGGGGGTGAGTCATTCTTCTCAAAGATTGGAAGCAAAATCAGATATGTTACTGTAAGATGGAGTGTTTTTGGCCATAAAATTGCACTATGAATATTTAGCTGGCAAATTGAGAAAGTTATAAGATCATTTCAGGGCCTGCTCTCTAATGGTGAAAAAGTATGTGACTAAAATTGTATATTTGATTTTGACACTTAATGGTGAAATATTTCTGTTCTGGTATAATGAGTGCTAGTGTTTTTCTATCAGAACATGCATTTAAATTGAACTTCACATGACACATAATTATAGCTGTTCAAAATTCTGTTTATTTAAGATTAAAATTACATCCCAGGTAACAAAATGTGTACTATTACATCACCATGTCTTCTCTTCACTGAATGATGAAATGAAGGAAGTAGTTGTATGCTGTTCTGTACAGAACAGAAAATAAGTCATGTGATGAAATTGTTATAATTACTGTACAGTTGTTTAATTTCCTGTATGATACAGATATACAGCTCATTAGTTTGTTGGAGGTTTTTGTTACGTTTATCACTCTGACAACAGCCAGGGTCATTTTGCGGCAGAGTCCCCTCATAGTAGCTGTTGGCTACCTTACTGAACAACATACTGTTAATACTTCATACAGGGAAATTTTTCTAAAGTTTAACCTTTGTTCCGTTTGCTCCTTCACAAATAGATAAAGTGTTTATATTTCAGAGAAAACATAACACTTTGCAAATTTTAAAAATTGATACAAAGAAGAAAATATGAATGTTTCCAGTATATAATAGCACCACTAAAGGACTTGATGACTGGAGTGCTTACTTTTATTACTTACTATGAGTATGTTTTGCCTTCAGTGACAACAGTAACTAGCAGTGCTGCAGGTTTTGAACAGATGTCTTCAGGTAGTGGAGAACAGCCAACATTTGAGGGATACCTATACAAGCGTGGTGCTCTGCTCAAGGGATGGAAACAGCGCTGGTTTGTCCTTGATTCAACCAAACATCAGGTTAGTCTCCCTAAAATTTCGGAGCTTTTGAAATATCATAACCAAATCATGTATTGTAAAACCATTGCTTTTCGTGAGGGATTCATTTTCATTGATTTTGTGTGGACTCAACAATTCAGACGTCCAGAAGTTGTATTAGTACAAGTAGATTTATTGACCTTTTCTATTCACAAAATAAAATGTTCACCAAATAGTAATTTTCAAAAAAAAAAGAAAAAAAAACATGAAAATTGAACCCCACAAAAATATCAGATTTCTCAGTATACTATTATCATCGCTGTTTTATATTAATTATGTACATTGTATATATCAGTGTTTGATGTGTTATACCATTGTTTTAACAGCTGAGGTATTATGACGCTATGGAAGATTCTAGTTGTAAGGGGTTCATCGACTTACTAGACATTGTGTCAATACAGCCTATCAAAAATGTACAGGGTGCACCAAAGAGATCTGATGAAAACGCTTTCTTTGAGGTACGCAACATAATTTTCTTGTTTTGAACCATCAGAGATGAAAAATTCTTTTATGGCAAGCCAAAGTGAAAATGCCTTCTTTTTTTTTTTTTTTTACAGATTTCCATCAATCGATTTGTTGGTTTCTGTAATCCATTTATTGATTATTGATATCCATTATCTCTCCATTAATTGATATCAATAATTGATAATCTTATTCAATCAATTATTAGCTCCCTTGGTCCAAGAATCAGTGAGCTTATGCCGTCCATCCATCAACTTTTCACAAAAATCACTTAAAAGACAGCAGATCTTGACCAACTTTGGTCTGAAGCAATCTTTTGTATACAATGGGCCTGGCCGCCCAAGGCAAAGGAGGCTGAATATGGAAAAAGTATTAAGTCTGAAAACTCTGTCTTGTGTTGGAATAGATATCTTGTCCTAATTTGACTTAAAGTATCCTTGGGTGTAAGGGACTCAGTATTGCTTAAACTATTATTACAAACGTAAACATTACTATCAATAGCTCAAATGGATTAATTATGAATCTCAGTCAATCAATTTAGGGATATCCAATATAAGGACTGTTCCACATTAGCATGTCCTATTTTTTTGCATTATGCAACCTTTTCATATGGTCTCAAAAATCAATGTTTCAGTTTTTTAACCCCATTTGGAGTAATTGTGCCCATGTCTGACCCCAGGGACATGTTGAATACTTACAGATAGGTTTGGTGGCAGAATAAGCCAAATATTGTACTGTAACAATGATTTATTGTCTCCCTTTCGTAAGGTATGAATGTAAATATTGTATTATTTTGTGTTTCAGCTGAAGACAGTTCGTCGAGTGTACAACTTCCTGGCATTTGATGCTAAAACAGCCCAGGAATGGATTGACCGAATACATAGCTTTATATGAAACCTCATTTAGACATTTCCTAGCCTCACAGAATTCTCAACTGGTTTCTTTGGAAAAGATTTCTGTAATTTAGTGTTGATGAATATGTCATAATAGAACTTCTTGAGGTATAACACGGTTTAGAGAAGAATCATCGACCGTTAATTGAGTGATCAACGATAGCATGTCTCTGTGTGTTGTGACGGCCACACTATGTAACACATCAGTCGAAGAACAGGGTATTTCACATAGTGATGGTCTCGTTATAAACCATAGCAGATAAACGGAGTGGAACATAGTGTTGTGAGGGACCGAGGGCATATATGGTCACAAAATTTGGTTGTGAGAGACCACAAAAGCAGGAATGACCTTGGTAGAGGTCAAAATGACCACTGATTGGCTTGACACTTCGACTTCAACTTACCTCACAGCTGATACACATTACAAGCAATTTGATGACTTGTCAATGAAATTGAATTAAATTACTCCTGCATGCATTTCGCAATTTCTTTTTCTTAGATTGGTGTTAAAAAATTTTTCATTAAATTGAACATTTTTTCATAATTATGAATTTGTAAATTCAAGTATATTTTAATTAAATTAGAATTTTATCAAGACTAACATAAAGAGAAATTGTCCATTCAATGCAGTGCTCTGTTCACACTGGAGGAAAATGGCTTTAACTGGTATAGTGTGTGTGTTTTGGGCTAGGGTCTATAGACAGAGTGTAACAATGTATGGTGAGTGAAAGGTCAAAAGGGCTATTTGTAATCTGTTTTACATGGGGATCAAATGTTTATAACTTTGCACAACATCATACTATTTATTATTTTACTACATACCTTATAAAAGATGTGACCATTTTTGTGTCAGTTTTATGTGACTGTCATAATAACAAGTAATACACTTTTTTTTTTGTTTTTTCCATTTAGTTAAGTAATTGATGTTTGTACAAATATGCTTAAGTTTCATAAAGCTGTGTGATTGTTTTCAACCATTTGTAAAAAGAAACGAGTTTTATTGTAGATACTGTTGTTTATGTATATATATCAGCCTGCGGTTTACTCTGTTTTGTAAATAACCCAATATTTGTATATGTTTTTCTTTGCTCAGTTTCAAGTGTACATATGTACATGAGTTACAACACCAGTCATTATACACATCTACACAATGTCATTACTACACTGTAATCGACATTGGAAATGACAGTTGACTCCTCAATCTGTCGATAATGAGAAATTAGAGTGAAATAGTTCTCATTTGCAGCAAAATATTTAGACAAGAAGTTTGAAATAACTCTCAGATTTAGTACGATATCAAGACAAGAAGTCAATTTGAAATAATTCTCAGATTTTGCAAGAAATTGAGAAGTTTGTTTGAAATCATTCTCAGTTTAATTTAACACAGTTTAAAATGATTCTCTGTTTTAACAAAATAACAGCACGTTTGTATATTTGTTATATTTGTTTTTATTTTTCACAGGTACGTTTTCTCAATAATACATTAAAATCCAGTTTGATTTAACATGTCATTGAATTAGATGTTTCAATCGTGGATTTTGTTGTGATGCTTTCATCCCTGTTCTTAACTGGTAATATCACATTAACACTAACACCAGGTATACTTATTTTAACAAATAATCTTTTCATCATGTCTTTTTAAATAATGTTTTTGTTTCTTTAATATATTTTACTGACTTCAACCACTAAAATGATTTTAAATATTTTATGGGTATCTAAGGAACATAACATTTGTCACTTTACTGTTGTATTATGTAAGATTACAATACATTGTCTGGAGTGGTCTGGACATGACATCTCTAGTCAGGGTAAGGTTGTCATCTTTATTGTACTAAAGGATTCAATATTTACCCTTCAAAATGTAAATATTTGTTCAAGGAATTCTCATGCACCATGACATGATTTTGGCAGTATTACAATATAACTTATTGGATGTTCTTTTCAGAGAATACTTTGATATTTTAAGTACAATCTTTGAGTTTTTTAACATGATCTTAAGTTAACATGATTGAAAAGTTTTCTGTACAAGGGTTTGGATGCTATATCATGTGTGTTTATCAACACATTTAGCCAGCAATATAATACAATGAACAGATCTTCACAGAAAAACATTGACCAAGGCAAGAATAGAAAGCATTTCAACAGACATGTAACAAATATGCATCTTTATATATTTGTTGACGTTCCCTGGAAATCCATGACCTTATTTCCACCAAAGAAATCTCTTCTGTTGACATGCTGAGATTTCATTAGGCTTTATTTAGGAATCATATAACTGCTTCCTAATGCTTTGAATCTTAGTATGTGCTTATTTTAGTTGGTATGGGATTGGGCTCTCTGCTGTAGAGAATCTCTCCCAATGGCACACAATTCTCTGCCACTGGAAGGACCATTGGTGCCAGGAGGATGGCAATCTCTGCCACTGTGGTCAGGAAGTCTGCCACTGGGGTGGGGATCAGTGTCACTGGTTTGGGGATCCGTGCCACTGGGGTGGGGATCTGTGCCACTGGGAAGGGGATCTGTGCCACTGGGTTGCAGATTTGTGCCTCTGGGAAGGGGATCTGTGCCACTGGGTTGCAGATTTGTGCCACTGGGAGGGGGATCTGTGCCACTGGGTTGCAGATTTGTGCCACTGGGAGGGGGATCTGTGCCACTGGGTTGCAGATTTGTGCCACTGGGAGGGGGATCTGTGCCACTGGGTTGCAGATTTGTGCCACTGGGAGGGGGATCTGTGCCATGTCTTGGGCTCCTTATTAACACATCATTGAACAGGAGTTTACCTGTAAATATATCATTTCATATTTATGTGACATGTATATAATCTGTACGTAGGAACTCTGTACAGTCGCTATATATAAAACATGACACTGTACATACCTGTATAACACCATGACCATGTTTTTGTATTTATATATTAAGTGGCTCAAACCTAGCTACTTATTGGACAGCTATTTTCTACTTGTCTGTAATGCTTTTTGGAAGTTTTAGTGTAAAAGCTATGCATCAGTGTATTACTTTTGTTGATATACCCATTTTTCTATGTGGGCTGTCAGTCATGTGTACGCAGTGTTGACAACTTATCAGATTATCTGGCATGACCTGTTAAACAAGGGTCAAAGGTCAGGGGGCATTTGTATAGAAACATATTTTCATTTCATTATTGTGACTTTTTTTGATACTGGGAATAAAATGCAAAGATCATTTAATGAACAGAAATGGACAGAACCTATACTGTAAAATGCCTCTCCTACGGAGTTATTATAATTCAGATGATACATAGGTCCGTGGAAGATCATGGAATGTTTGAATTTACAAACAGAAGAGAATATGTCACAAATGAGGTCCTGCTGTGCTCCACAAATTCACAATTTCTATCATTTGTAATATCATACTGGTGCTTCAATGAATTGGGAAGTGAGTTGGCAACACTGTGTGCGATTACATTGAATCATGGCTCTGTATAGGGCCCTGATCAACTGGGGTCCCTCCAAGCTCTGCTAGTACAATGTAAACTTGACATAGCCAGTTTGTTGAGACTTGATTTCTAGACATAATGCATTTCCTAGGATCTAGTTAAAAATCAGATCTCGTGTTTCCTTTTTGTATTTCATATCTCGTCACATTTAAGGAGGTCGAAAATTAAATCGGAATTCTCATTTTGATTAGATTGACATGTTCTGGTGAAAGAAATTCAGAAATACTGTTAAATAAAGTGTATGTCCTTGTGTGGTTTTCTAAACATGCTTCATCAAATGATTCAGTGATTCTAGAATCACCTGTTTTATATCAGTCATACTGATTTCTTGTTTTACCTGTGAGGTTACCTGTCTTGGCCAGTAACATCACTTTGTGTGAGAAACATATTCATCTTCTCTCTGTAATATTGCCATTCAAATACTGTCTCTATTTGACAGATGTTTGAAAATTTACAAGTAGACTTTAACTCTAATTAGCTGTGTTAACTATGACTGAGTAATCCAGTAACACTAGTGTGGTACGTTGAGTGAAAGATTAATTAATGTTTGTAAATGTTATCAACACCGCTGTCAACTGACCAGATTACTTCATATAGTGTATTTCAGGTTATGATCAGTTGGATATAGAAATACTATATACTTCTACCACTCAATAGCTGCTGTCATCTCTTAACTTTAGTGTAGCTCAAATTTCGTAGTTCTTCCATAGTTCTTCCAGTTATCTCTTCTGTGGTTACTTGTACTGTATTTCTGGGAAAAGTTGATCACAAAAATTGTTTGGGCAAAATAGGGAAAAAAATCAGTTTTTCCTGTTTCGGCCTAAAAAAAATTTGGGGGGGGGTGGGGTTAGCAGGCATTTTTTCCCCCAAATAATATCTACTTTTGACACTGACTACTCCAGTACTACATATTGATAAGGGAATGGTTTATACCCATGTGTCTGGTATGTTTAAGTGTTGTATATGTGTGTTAATAGATTCCTTTCGGTACTTTTGATGTAGCTTCCCCCAAGTTATTTGTGGGCTATGAAATAATTTTTTTTTATTTAAAAAAGAAAGAAAAGAAAAATAAACAAATAGAAATTTTGTCAGTATCTGTCAAAGCAATGTTAGTTTAGATCATTCAGAAGAAATGCCTGATATACATGCTTGTCTGGATCACCTTATCTCATGTTTGGTTTTTAGAAAGTTCATGTCTTTAGGTGTGTGTGCACAATAAATTTTATCGCCAAAACAGATAATGGCATGGATATTTCCCCCAAATAAGTTTTAAGACATGCTTGACACTAGTCCTTATAAAACGTAAATACAGGTCAGGTGTCTAAGCTGCTTGGGATTGCCAGCAAACAAAAAATCAAAAATAATTTTTTGCCAAAATTTAAAAAAAAAAAAAAAAAAAAAAATTGGGTAATCAGCAAAAAAAAATTACAATCAGGAAACAGGAAACACAGATTTTTTTTCATCTTTTTCTTTTTTTTTCTTTTTTTTCTTTATGCTGAAAACTGAAATTTTTAAGAATTAAGAATTAAGTTAAGAATTTGAGGACATAAGCCTTCTCATGGATCATGTAAATCCTTGAAAATAACAAAAACAGCAAACCCACAAAAATTACTTACAAGGTATTTTACAGTGTTCCAAAGTGACTAGTCTGGACCAGATCACAAATCTAGTATTGTAGATAATCCCATGCAAATTTTTTATTACCACTTTCATGGAAATATGATATTTGCTCACTAATACTGACTGATCTTAAGGATTTCACACTGTGTGGCATGTTGATAATGGGTTTCATGAATTACATAAATTACTACCAAATTTTGCAGGGTCCTTATAACTATAGATACAAGACTTTTAGGGGTTAACTGGTATGGATGTCAGTGAATTTAGTGTTGAAAATGATAAGCATTATTGCTTGAAATTCTAATCCTAAATGACTGATTATAAAAAGAAAATTGCAGACATTTCAGGTACCACACAATTTTGGCCTATCTAAAGTTACATGTAACTGAAAATTAATAAGTAGAATTCTTCACCTCCATCTGACTGAAATGATGTGAGGACACCGAATCCTCTAATCTATAAGCCTGGAAAGTGAAAGGTAAAGTTTCCTCTATCAATATTTTCCTTTGTGTATTTCAAATGAATTAATATTACATGTGTATGTTGCATGGTTAGAGAAAGTTGAAGGTACTGCAGGAATAATACAGTATGGTTTATTGTTTTGTACTATAATGGACACACTTAGTGCTTAGTGAGGTCATCTTTAACGATATCAAAAATGGTCAAAATGTTCTGTTGATTTTTTTTTTTTTCTGAATTATTTCTGTTACTTATGTTCAGGTGTAAAACCAGATATCATTTTAAGTCCAGGTAATAAATGAATTTTCCAAAGTCATTCAATCAAGAATTGTTTCCAAATAAGGAATATATGTGTTTCTGTCTTGTTAACATAAATGTAGCGAGGGTGATAGGGGAAGGGGGGATGATAGGAGTTGTAGTGAGGATACGGATGGAGAGAGGACAAAGTTACGAGGGAGGGGGACATAGTGAGGGAGGTAGTGAGGTGATAATGGGGGATGTATTGAGGGTGACCTACAGGTTACTATCTATCAATTTTCTATGCATTTTTAAATAATACTGTCATCTGCTGCTTAATATGCTTCAGTGCATGAAGCCTTGTCTCAACTGTTGATAGAACGGAGTTGGTACAGTGTATCAGGAGTGATGTGGGGATTTGTACATATGTGCCTGTCATCAACATGTGTACATCTACAATATGTACACATTTATAACTTTTACTCATAGTAACCCTCCATTGTACATTAACTACAGAGATATATATAAGGTGTCTATGTTTTGTATATGTACATGTGTATTGTACAGCTACATGTGTACATGTGTATTGTACAGCTACATGCATACATGTGTATTGTACAGCTACATGCGTACATGTGTAGTGTACCTAAGCATTTGTATTTTACATGTACCTGTGTAGCATATCTCTACATATGTGCATGTGTAGTGTACCTCCACATTTGTACCTTTCTAGAGTACCTCTGCATGTGCACATGTATTTTATATGTGCATGTGTAGTGTACTTTTGCGCATGTACATGTGTATCAGTGACGTTTACCTGTACACAAGTACATGTGTTTTGTACATTCAGGTGTACATGTTTATTGTACATGTGTACCAGTGAAGTATACCTGTACACAAGTACATGTGTTTTGTACATTCAGGTGTACCTGTGTGTTATACATGTACCTGTGTACCAGTGACGTATACCTGTACACATGTACCTGTATGTTGTACATGTACCTGTGTACCAGTGACGTATACCTGTACACATGTACCTGTATGTTGTACATGTACCTGTGTACCAGTGAAGTATACCTCTACACAAGTACATGTGTATTGTACATTCATGTGTACATGTGTGTTGTACATGTACCTGTGTACCCTTGTATTTGATGTATATGTGGAATCATTATGTACATAGGTATCGTGTTACCTACCCTACATATAGCATGTGTTGTGAAATGTGTTTATATTTAAATTCATATATGTTTTAGGTATTTGTTACCTTCTGCAAATAATTTTTGTTGACTCTGTGCAATAAAAGACATGACTTTTTAGAAACACTCATTTTGTTTTGTTATCACTGCCTCCAAATTTTAAGCTTTTCTAGTCACTTATGTAGGAACAGGTATCCCCCCACCCATCATTGGCCTTCATCCATCTTCTCTTGTCCATCCATTCTTGATTATTGTTAATGCTGTGCCATGAAAATTACTGACTGGAGCTCTCACATTTCACATGTAGGTTCTCCTTGGTCCCTAGTTTTGGCTCATTGAATAATTCCTCTTGATTCCTAGTTGTGCCCCCTTATTCTCAGGAGCCATGTTGGATTTTGGTTACTTATTATCACTATCCCAGTTCTGGTTCAATATACTCAGATTTCATATTCAGATTTCAATTCGTCCCAAGTTGAGGGATGGCCATCTTGGATTTTGACAGTTATAGCCTTTCCTATCTCTATATCGTAGTTCTGGCTGGATCATTCTTAAATTCATATGTTCCCCCTTGGTCCTTAAAGGAGTCCTCTTGACTTTGAGACTGATCAGAAACTCAAACTGCCTGAAATGCAGGCAATCATCTTGAATTTTGAAAGCTTAAATTTTTTTAACACTTTTATTGAAAAATACTAGATGGATCTCACTCAAATTTCAATGAAATGGTCCGTTCATTGGTGCCCCTACAATTTTGAGATTGATCAGAAAAACAAAATGGTTGATAGAATAAATGGATCTTTCATGTGATGAAAATTATCAGAATTAAATCAAATGGTGGTTGTACATATTTTTTTCAGAATTCCTGCTACAAAATAAATGGAGTGCCTTTGGTTCAGGCACTAGAACCAATCAAAGTCATTTCTGGTCAGCAAACTGAGATTTTGTCTCCAGTATAATGGAGTGACAGCTTCAACATTTGTGTTTAACTCGAAATTTTTCAGAATTCAAACTGCTACTTTACAAGCAAGGCTGTGTCAGCACATGTTTTAATTACAATTTTAGTCAAAGCTTAATTATTTTGTTAATTATCAAACCAATGTTCAAGTTTTCTATTTGGCTTTGTGTCAGGTTTAATTCCTTTGTGCTCTAGCCTTGAATATACTTATGTCTATGCAACACACATTTCAGATTTTAATTTCATCTACAGTTTACCGTTAATTGGACTTTGTTAATTAATTGTACAATTAAAGATTTCCTCTAATGTACACAAAGTACAAATTCTTAAGTCAACCTTCCCGGGGTCAATCAGGTGCAACAATTACATAATCGTCAACCTTCAGGAAGAATTAGTGACTTTGTGAAAGTCTAACTTCCTGTGAATTTTATTGGGAGGGGGGACATACGATTTCGAAAAGTTGGAGAAATTTTTGTGGTTATTAGAACAATGAATATCATAAGTGGAACCTGATTGCTTAATCTTGGTGATACGGAGAAGCAAGGAACGTGCGAGGTATATAATTACTCTAGTAACAGGGATGACTTTGTGATATTATCGTTCCAAAAATAACATTATTCCAGAAAACAAATCTGAACACATCTGTTGTGTATAAACATACGGCCCGACAGGAATATCTTGTCGAATACCAACGTTAATTATTTTACAATTGACAGCTGATCCAGAAAATAATGTGATGCATTTTTGTGGTAACGTGTTCTTATCGTTCACGTAGAAAGAACATATTTTCTTTATTACAAACAATGTTTATGTAGTTCCATGCAGTGGCAAGCCTGGTCGTAAGACGCGTGCCTCACCCAGCCCAGTGTTTAAAATGTAGTCAGATTCATCGTCTTAAAGAAAAACAATAGCAAGATAAATTTATAACGAAGATGGTAGGGAGGGGTGGGTAAGATGTTACATACATAGTCTCTGGTAGGGCTCTGCTGGGGGTGGACTGGGTTAGATGGGATGCGCCTCAAAATACCAGGTTCGCCGTTGTGTGGAATTGCACAAACATCTTTTTACAACGAGGGCATGTGTTCTTACCTTTGAAACATTGATGTATACTTATAACACGTAACCACAAAAATGTGTCGCTTTATTTCTTGAACCAATAATAAACAGAATCTATACCAACACAAATGATTTGTAAGTGGCACAGTTCAGAGTATAACCATGTCCAAAGTAAAAATTTTACGAAATTTAATAAATTGTGGATTAAGGGCACCTCCCCGGTCGATATCTTACCATTTGCTTTGGTATTTAATTCATGGTCTAGGTTTTACACACTTCGGTTGTGAGCATAAATAACCGAGTTTTATAAAAAG